TGACTGGAACACATTTTCCTATAGATTCTTCAATGCCAGGCAGGTCGATTGGAGAACCCTAAGACGAACAGCATCAACTAAAGGTTTGAGAGCGAAGACGTACTGCAGACTGTAGAAAGGTGTGAAAGCAGCAAGTGTATCAATAAAGTACAGTTATTTGAGCCGATCAATATGTTGATTAAGACAATGTGATAATCCTGAATCCCAAATAAAGCTTTCTCGAGAAGTTATACATATCAAAATACCATAGACTAATATTTTTTTAACTGACTTTTCAGTAGTGGAAATTCATAAATGGTTTAATACACCGAGTCCAAGACAGAGATCACTTAGTGGTCATTAAACAGTCTGGCTGGAATGCATGAATAAGGAAATTTAAACCTAGAATCAAACTCCAGCTACTTGAGCGTTACTAATAAGTAAGGAATTATTATTTTCTTTACATTGCTATTACGTTACTAATAAGTTACTAAGCGAAACAATACTCCACCAGGCTAGTTGAACATTAAATAATAAAAACATTAAATAAATAAACATACAAATGGCGAATATGTCTCTTGCGTCTGACTTTCTCCCACTCACACGGCCTCTTTATCACATAAACATTCGTTTGACTGAGTTACTTGACTTTATATTATTTCTTTTCAGTGTGAAGAAGTGAGTTCTTTTAGTTGAATGAGCCAACGAATAAGGTTTTGATCGATCTCAGTAAGATACATCGACTGATTGATTGACTGGTAGCACTTATCTACTGACAGTATATTTTGTACGTTGACAATTGCCGACTAGGGCGAGATCAACTTCTTGAAATCCTTTGCTAGTCATAATTGAAATATGCAAACACTGATTTCAGACGTCTATATATTAACCTGATCACCTCAAAGTCACATTAGTAAAAATCATTCTAAACTGACCAATTATGTGACGATGGACCCACATGGCAACAATGCTAAAACTCTATTCGAAATGAAGTGATATATTTTGTGAATGAGTCCATAGAACGATTTATGACAATATTTATAGGGTCCTACTAGATGACCTACAAATTTCGAATCGATTATTGTGAGAATGAATTGTGTTGTTGAATGACAACCTAACATTATCTCGAGTGTTATTATTCCAGTGATTCTGTACTGTGATATTAACTACATTATCTACATATGCATTGTTGATAGTCCGATAAATCTCGGTTCGTATTTTAAAGACCACGGCTTCAATACTGATGCGGTAGTCTTGTTTATCTTTTATGATGATCATATTGAATTACACGAATCCGAACACTTATAGGTTCAAGCCCGTTCACGTTTTAGGCATGTGCGTTGGAGTGTTACGATTAAAAGCAGGTTGAATCTAAAGATAGCTGGCACACGCCACGTGACCATACAGATTTAGAGAATTGAACTAACACACCAACTACTACTCGAGCAGTGCAATGTGACTGGTGTTAAACAGTTGTCCTTTGGATTATTGAGTCGTGCTCCTGAGTCTATGAGTTCATCAGTAACCACTAGTCTCTTTCTTAAGTCCCTCAACAAGATGTATGAGTTCAGGGAGTTGCAATCCAGAGAATATGAACGGCATTCATATCTGTAACCCACTGGATATTATCTCATTCCTTGTATTCACATGAAACCGTTCTCTTTTCTAAATTTTCCTCGTTTGATTAAACATTCTCTATCAGATATATTTCTTTTGCCAACGCTGATATGTCATCAAAAGCCACTTTCATATTCATTCCAAAACTCAATTTTCCAAAACATTTGGGTCACAAGCTTGTGCTAATTATCGAATTCATTCAAAAAATAAACAGTTAACCGGTCAAATAACTGGGTTGGAGAATGCTGATCGGCGGTCTATGCTCCGTTGGGAGTAACAGGCGTAAATAAAGTAAGATCAAGCAATACAACACTAATACACCGATTATGGTTGTTGCGATAACCTAACTGATACTGCAAACGATCCTCTGAGAGATAAATTCAATCTCAGTTGTACAAAGGAAGGTGATGACGATGATAACGAACACTATCGGAAGTTATCGTGATGGGTTGTCATGATCACCGTTATCTTGTTCACAATGTATCACTCATTATAATAGCGTTTATAATAATAATATAGCGGTCTGTAAAGGCAAAATTACATTTTGAAATTCATCGTGATTCTCGTTCGAGATCACATCCGTTTTTAATTCAATATAATGGCTATTCAGCGTTGTGACCAAGATGTACAGCAAAACATACAGGATATAATTTATGATTCTGGACACTTTTAAGATGACTTTTTACTAATAAATAGCCAAATGAATATACAAATCAATATATACATGTGTGTACTTTCAATGTGGATCTTCTCCGTACTTTGGGTTGAATGAATCTTAACTTTTACCATATTCTTACTTCGCCTTGTGCAAATTATATTGGTTCCTCACTTTCACTTATAAGTAGAAAGCAGCGAGGGTATGGTAAATAATAATAAATCTATATCATGGTAATTTTTTCCCGACCGTTGCTGCTACCTTGACGTGGTGGTCGGGCTTGACTATCGTGATGATCCAGTCGAGCTATAACGGCGTGAACAATCGTTCATCAAGGTCCTACCATGCCAAGCAGGTCGGTTGAAAAGCGGTAAGATTAAAAGCAGCAAACCCAAGGTCCGGAGGCAAAGTCGTACTACTGACTGTACAGAGGTGTGAAAGCAGTAAGGTGTTTCCCTCAGACAACCAGCATAACAGCGATTCTGCCTTCCAACAAGGAGGGGTAGGTTTAGAAAGGGTCGACCCTAAAAATGCACACCTCGCCTTATCCCATGGATATCAGTTTCCGGCGGTAAGGTACTTCGAAGAACGGAGCTAACACGTCAAAAATCTCCCACGAAAATGTCGTGCACAATCGGCCTCAAGCAGTTGTCCCTTGGGCACTGTGGTCACGCTCCCAAGTTATTTAGACCATCTCTAACCCAATTTCCCTTTTCAGGTTCCTCAAGAAATACCCTTACACGGTGTGTGCAGCCGGAAAGTGATATTACCTCTCAGACCCGTAACTGCACACGAGACCAAGTTGGTCACTTTCAAATACTTTCTACACCTAATAACTCTCTTATCTCCACGACTGACTGACTGACTGACATGGTAACGTAGATCACATTGAAATTAAGCACACGTCACCACGCAATCAGAGACCTGAACCATTGCGAATAAAGCTTCGTAAACAACACCCCCGCCATGAGAAGGCAGTGAGTTAGACTTCCCTGGCAGAGGCTATATTACGCATGACCATGTGAGAATATTTCGAGAGGGAGAGCGGACTCTCCCCACTCTCTGACATAGCAGGGCATTTGGGGGCATACGTATTAGGATAATTAACATTTTTACGGTAAGAAAAAACACTGTAAAATACTAACATTTAGTTTTATGCCTACTTTATTTTACAAACCATAAGCTTTCGTTCGATGTATGATTCGCTGCCATGCCCTTTTCTATTCCAGAGCTATTGTAATTTAAAGGCAACCTTTGGTACTCTATTTCTCTACTCTGATGTCCTGTTTGAACATAACTGTATTTTCCTAATCATTAGTACGTTGTGGTCCTGCTAGTCATATATTTATTTATGTATCTTCTCATACTAACCTGAATTGGTTGATGAATCAAGTAGTGTTCCAGTTGACTCGTCTTATCTCTCAATTGTCAACAGATCAGGTGATAGAACAGTTTCCGTCTTTCTACCCAAGACAGGTGTTATCAATTCGAATTCACACACTTCTAGCCTCAAGGTTAAACTAGTTAGCCTATCGTGTCAAGGTCTTAATCAAGATTGAGACAAGTCCGCTCCCGTATATTATTTACTAAGCTACTGTATAATTTGACGTTAAACAATAAACTAGATAGTCCAACCTGAGCTTTCGTTCACTATAGTATCAAAAGAAAAATCTTTGGAGTTTGTTGGCAATAAAAGATTTGAATACATCTCGTGCTCAGCTGCCCCAAGTTTCCAAAGTAGAATTCTCATATTTGAAGAGTCATCATGACGCAAAAAATCAACTTGAGGAATATCGCTTGAGCCATGATTCAAATGTGACACCAGCACAAGGATCAAAGTGAGACTCGCTCATTAAGTTGATCAGTGATTCGGTGGTTAAGCCTCTGAAATCGGACACCTGTACTCAATTTTCTTGAACTGACAACTTTCGTGTCATCATTCCGGTCATTTTCGATTGTAGTATTTGAAATTCTTTTTGCTACTGCTGCAAAAATGATTCAAGCTGATCTACTGAAATTGACATTTTGGAATTTTAGTTATTTTCGAGTGGGTTTGGTAAAAATGACGCAGTCAGAAACTGTTGTAATGTGTAGTTTCAGAAAACTGATTCTGATACACGATGCGCTATACACTAATCCCTACCCTCAACTGACTTCTGTATATTTTAATTTATTTACTAATCAGGCCCCAAAATGTCCTGGTACGGCCGAGAGTGGGGAGAGTCCGCTTTCCCTCTCGAAAGGCTCTCATATGGCCAGCGAATATATAGCCTTCGTCGGGGAAGTCCTACTCACTGCCTTCTCATGACACCACTGTTGTTTACGAAATTGAGAGGACGAAAAGCGAATGTCCGGCGCTTTAACCGGGTTGGTGGATGTGGAGGATCCACCTAGGGGAGTTGGAAAACCCTGATTCCAAACCAATGGTGCACATGGGCTCGCGTATCCTGAAGGAACGAATGGCGTATGAACCAACTGTTGGTCACCGGCTACCATGGGACTGCATCTCCTTACGATGCTCCACTGCCTTGTGGGTTAGACCTTTAGGTTAAAGGCTCGGGGTGTGGCCCCCTAAGAAAACCACCTGCTTCAGTCTGGGCACCTGGGCAGTATCACAGCCCTCACACAAATCGAATGTGATTTGTGCGGTGCATAAGTATCTGGTGCTTCCTTGTACCAATATTTATGTGTTTAAATAAAATAAAACAAAATAAAACCCCAACTGACTAATTGAGCAAGAACACAAGAGTGAACGAGAAAGTATATTGGGCTACGGAATAAAATACACAAATACTCCCTTATATATGTACAACTCTACCGCTTTGGAATTTAATAAAATTCTTAGTCAATTATATGTACTTCTCATTCAGGTCAATTCTGATTGCCATCGATTGACCTTTTCCATTTGGCTACTTCTGGTTGACTTACCATTACCAACCATTATCATGAGAAAGATATCAACAATGAAGACAGTATGTACATCATGATCTGCACAGGTACAGATATACAAAAACATATCATAAAATGACAAGGATATATATATATATATATATATATATATATATATATATGTAGATAAATAAAACAAATTCGAAGAAAAATAAAAAAAAGATTCAGCTATGAAGTATCATCGGTATCATCTTCATCAACATCTGATTCTTGAGAATGATTTTTTCGGCGACGTTGTGAAGAATGTTTACTTTTTATTGATTTCAAATGTGCCAATTGTAATTGTTGACTTTGTATAGTATGATGATAATGTGTAAATTGTGATGAAGTTGGTATATTTTGTAAATGTGTCACTAATTGTATATCCTTGCTCATAACTGTTATACGTTTTGCATGTATTGCGCATCGTTGTGCGCATTCGAATAAATGAACAATAAATGCCTCAGCAGCTTCTTGTAATGCCAAAAAACAAATAGCTTGCCAATGAAATGATAAATAACTCGGACCAAGTGTACGAACAGTGATAGAACGTACTAAACGTGCAAATGGTAACTTTCTGTTCATTAAAAAAGAAAAAATTACATATACATGTATACGACACAATGGTCTAAGAGTGAATTTTACGGATTATAATAATCTGATATTAAAATGTAAAATGATGTAACTGACCGAGTACAGAAATTTGTTATTAATATGTGTGGATGTCATTGATACCACGACTACTATTATTACTTGGCTGTTATTCAAGTCGAAGTAGCTGGAGAGGAACTTGAACCATGTTTGCCTAGTGGTTGAAAGTCGAACACATTAGTTGGTAAGCCACTGCTTCGCTTACATTTGCTAAAATGTTTTTAGTATGATTTCCAAGAAAACTAGACACTATGGAGGCTCTTTACGTAAACATGTATAATCACATGGTAGATGTTTATGTTTTTACTTTATATCCAATTAATCTTATACTAATTGTGTAGTAAAGCTGATTTAGATCAGTGTGGACAGAACATTATGGAAACTTCTTACACACTATGGAGTGCCTCAGAAGATTTTCAACATTATCCAGAACTCATACGATGGACTATAGTGCAAAGTCGTGCACGAAGGACAGCTGACAGATGCATTTTCAGTAGGGACCGGAGTCGGACAAGGCTATCTACTCTCCCCCTTCCTCTTTCTTCTGGTGATTGACTGGGTTATGAAAATCTCGACATTTGAGGGGAATCACGGAATACAATGGACATCTCATAATCAATTAGACGATTTGCACTTCGCAGATGGCCTAGCCCTCCTATCTCATACACACGAACAAATACAGACGAAGACAGCTAATGTAGAAGCAGCCTCTGCATCAATAGGCCTCAACATACACAAAGGAAAAAGCGAGATTCTCAAATACAACACGAAGAACACCAACACAATCACACTTGATGGCGAAACTCTGGGAGAGAAGAAAACAATCACGTTCCTGGGAAGCATCACTGATAAGCAAGGAGGATCGGATGCAGATATAAAGGCGAGGATTGGCAAAGCAAGGGCAGCATTTCAAAAATTGAAGAACATATGGAACTCAAAACAAATGTCAGCTAACTTCAATGTGGGAATCTTTAATACGAACGTCAAGACAGTTCTACTGTACAGAGCTGAAACGTGGAGAACTACTACATACATTGTCAAGACGGTTCAAGTATTTATAAACAGTTGTCTATGCAAAATACTCAACATTCACTGGGCGGATACTATCAGCAACAGCCTTCTGTGGGAGAGGACAAGCCAGCTTCCAGCTGAAGAGGAAATTAGGAAAAGACTTTGGAAGTGTATGGAACATACATTGCGGAAATCGCCATATTGCATCACGAGGCAATCCCTAACTTGGAATCCGGAAGTCGAGTGGAAAAGAGGAAAGCCAAAGAACACATTACGCCGCGAAATAGAAGCAGAAATGAAAAGGATGAATGACAACTGGATATATATATATATATATTCTTAGTGTATAACTGTTAAGTAACCAAGTTATACATGCATTTATATTCCTTGTATCATAGATTTTTATTTAACCTATTTGTGGTAAGGGTTATTTATATCCACATAAGTAGTATATGATGATGGTCAGGCATAGAATGTATTTCAGAAGAAAATCGATAGGGAAAGAACAAAAATGGAACGCAATTGGTATGAAAATCTAGGAACAATGAAATCAGAGACGAACGACTGATATTTGTAGAAGGAACAGTCAAGATTGAAACAATTGATTGATAGTTTGCAAATTAACTGTTCACTGTATAGTTGTCATATTTTAGTGAGATACTCTATAAATTTGTGCCTAAATACATCTGATTGTCCCCACTCGTGTTTTTATTCAGTACATATTGACTACTATCAAATGATTTACTATTCTTAAATTATTCCCAATTTATTAGTTATAGTCTCTCACAACTACAGTCACCTTTTGGCTTGATCTTATACAACTGTTATTTTCTATTTTATGGTATGATGCGGTCTGGTTTGCTTGTATATAAACCCAGTATATCTAAAATATGTAAGATTCATATAGTGAAAACTGATATTGATATTTTGGACTCGACAGGCAGTGCTAGCCAACAAGGACCAATAAGGACTCTAGGCTTCTCGTACCGGTCAATAAATCATTGGCTTGGCACAGCGCTAAGATTGTATGAGTCGTGTTTTGATTAGCAATCACACCGCGTGAAAATGAACAAGTTACAAGTCATAACAATTTACCTTAAAAGAAGATTTGTGCTACGCTGGAAAGCTCTTATTTCTTTTAAAGCTACTGAATATTGAGCGGCTCTTTTCTTCGGCCTAATTTGCTTGTCATTTTGAGCAGTTCCTGTTGTTCGACTGGATTGTTGTTTTTGAACCAACTTTAAATTTCGACCGGAGCTCTGAGACAGACGGTTTCTAACAGGTGAAACACGACGACTATTCGATTTAGATGTTTCTTTACGATTCACATACATCCAGTTGTTTTGACGAGATTTATTTGCAGCTTTGTTTGTTTTTTATAGTGAAAAAAATAACAGAAATGAAGCTATCAAATGGGGTGCTAAAATATCAGCCAAGACAAAAATAAATTATAGGCATGAAAAGTAACATAGCTATATTACTAATTAAAGTAGTATAGTCCTATTCAAAGTTGATTTGAAACATGATAGTCATTCATTAATAAAGAAATCAGAAAAATATTAAATACGACATCTCTAGAGAGTAATGAGAAAAGGTGATTTGTAAAATCTCAACTACAGTATAGTTCAGGAAAGACTTTTTATTCAGTTGAACTTGAATTGTTTTTTTCAGGTTGACAGCTAGTCTGAAGGTGTTGAGAAGAGAGGGAGGCTTTGGACCACTACTATATATATATATATATAAAGGGGGAGAGGGAGATTCAGTTAGTATTGTGGAGAAAGTTATATCGACTGGACAAGGTGTAGTCTTTCTGAACGTACCTCTAAGAATTGTCCAGCAGATACAACATAAATGTAAAATAATGAAAACATATCTTCGAATATTTCGTTAACTCAGACTAATTAGCCTCATCAAAAGTTGGTTGTGAAATAATCTTTAAAGTTGGACAAACTAGCACAAAAGGAAAACACAAACCATGAACTAATATACAAAGAAAAGCTTTGTCGATTCATGCTTGATCTGTGTTTATAAACGATATGTCCAATCTTTTACTGAACTGTGGTTCCAACATCTCTAATTTCTAGTTATTATTGATACTTTTGATATTCTTTTCAATCACTCTGTTAATGGAGCATAACCTAACTATTTTGTTATAAACTACTGTATTAAATAGCTATTAATACGATTATATGACTTCAATAAATGTTGTTAAAAAGAATATTTTCCTTATCAAACTAACTCTTTGAATATTCTTGCCCCCGAATCCCCTGGTACGGCCGAGAATGGGGAGAGTTCGCTCTTTCTCTCCATATGCTCTCACATGGCCACGCGTACATAGCCTCTACCAGGGAAGTCTTACTCACTGCCTTCTCGTAGCACCGGTGTTGTTTACGAAATTGAGAGGTCGAAAAGCGAATGTCCGGCGCTTTAACCGGGTTGGTGGACACGAAAGGAGTTGGAAAACCCTCATTCCAAACCAATGATGCACATGGGCTTCAGTATCCTGAGGAAACTAATGGCGTATGAATCAATTGTTGGTCACCAGCTACCATGGGACTGCATCTACTCACGATGCTCCACTGCCTTATGGATCAGATCGATAGGTCAAAGGCTCCGGGTGTGATCCCCTAAGAAAACCACCTGCTTCAGTTTGGGCACCTGGACAATATCACAGCCCTCACACAAATCGAATGAGATTTGTGTGGTGCATATGTATCTGGTGCTTCCTTGTACCAATATGTGTTTAAATAAATACTAATCATAATAATTGAACATCCTTAATTTGATTATCTTGCAACAGAAAAATAATACATATTCATCTCCTTTGATAGAAAGAAAATCCAGTATGAGGATAGTCAATGACTGTGATTGAAGCCTAGCTTCCATTTTTATTGAGATATTGAGAGAAAATAGTATTTATGGAATTAATCCAACCATGAATATAACTGTCTTAACCTTTTACACACTACAACATAAAGAACTCAAGCTTTTTTAAACAAATAAATAAGATTCAATATAAGTTAATATCACCCCGGATAAAAAAAGACTGTTTCGATATCTACATGAATGATTTATTAAGATGTGAGAAATCCTTGATGCATATACTTTGAGCTACTCGTAACTAAGTGGTCAATTAACACTTAATAGTTAGCTTAGGAACAGACTATCACCGACTGTTGAGGTGAGTTATTGGTGATATACACTTTTAGTTGATTCAAGTGAATTAACAGGATGTATGTCAACAAATAACATGCAACGATACAATGTGACCTAGTGATAACTGCTCGTGAGACTAAATAATCGAACCAAGTCCTAAAATGATCTGAGACCAAAGACAAGACTATTAGTCACCAGACTAGGTTTTTATTTAGTTTACATACAAAAATAAATATGATTAGATATAATTTGATAAATAAACGATTAGATGACAGGAACTTCATGAATAACTTACTAACCTATGCATTAAAGTTCTGACCTATTGTGTTTACTTTCTGCGCCCATCATATCGCATACTGAAAATAAACCACATTATAAATTTACATGGTAGGCCCATGAAACTAGAACCAGATAATGGCTGGTTGAACCATGCACAGTTATGTTAGGGATGGTTGGAAGAGAGTTAGGGGCGGCCAAACCAAAACATGGCATCAACCCTTGAAGTCACTAACTTCTAGTCTGAGCCATGTTGGCAGATGCAGACTACTTGGTTGGGGTTCGCGTGACTATCGTAACCAATGGTTGGAGACTCTGGGTGACATGGCTCAGAATCGATCACAATGGCGCAGGTGTATGCAATGTTTATCTTTCCTTAAACCTTGAGATTAAGATTGCTTCATAACTTTCTCCCTATACTATATCCTTATACACAACCTTTCTCTCATATATTACCACCACTAAATTAACCACTTCTATGAACTCGGTGTTCATCTTGTTGTGCTAACAAGGTGTGGCAACTTGGACCGATGCATATATGTGCCTGATCCTACGTTGTAGCTGACTGACTGACTGATGTTCTCCAAGCTGGTCATACTTTTGAATATTATTACAAAGGAGGTTATCTAAATTGTCTAGTGAGGAATGATATAAAATGCATAAACGCTTGAAACTAAACATTCAACTTATTAGGTAGATTGTTGGCTATCTTTATTATATTTTTGTTTTATAGAGAACAAAAGCAATTATTTCGGAAACCTCCACAATCCCTTATTATTCTGGTGTAGAATAAAAGGTGATCCAATAAATTTATCCAACCGAACTTATCAAAACAATTGAAAAAAGACAAGTTCACAAAATTTAGTAAAACAACGGAAAAATTAAGTAAAACGAAACGCGCGTCATGGATTCCACTGCTAGCCACTATCCATCTTTGCTTACCATGCTTGTGAATTAAGGCTATATCGAGGCAATACGCACAGTATGCACATATGCCGACTAGAGACTGACCAGTTTCAGTCCTAAAACATCAATGGGAAGATTTAAACAAACAATACTAAGTTAATTTAAACAACTGCATAGTTTTAAAATACAAGGAGAAATATCAGATACTACAGGTGGACTTAGCTACTCAGCTTCTGAAATATGATAATCTAACGGTCAATCCGTTCGCTAAAATATAAATGATGATTAATTATCCTTGCTTTATAAAATTTATCTATTTATTTATATTTTATGCTGAAAACTATTTTTAATCATCAAACCAGTCAGTGATTCGAATCATATTCAATGTCAAATATGAGAAAAAACGGTTACGAAGTGACCTGCAGATATGGTCATTTTGAAGGTCTATAAGCATCACAATCGTGTATGATATCAAGTTAGTCGAGTAGTTCGCGGCACATTAAGAATCAAGGTTTTAGATACGACAAAAACAGACAGTTAATCATCACTGCCTGCTCCCGAAAACGACAAAAACATTAAAAAGATGTGGACACGTCTGTAATAACTATTAAATTAGAAAATTATGCCCGGACTACGTACTTGAAGTAACTCGTCGAGGTTGAGCAAGTTGTTTATTTACAGAGCGGCGAGATGAACTGACATTTGTGTTTACAACTGATTGTTCATCGAGAGGAGCTGCTTGATTTGAAAAGCTAAATTAAATACAGAAGTAATAAATAATGATTATATATATATATATATATATAAAGAGAGAGAGAGAGACTAACAGAAAGTGAATCCAAGACTTCTTCTTTATCCATTTATTTATTTGAGCACATAAATATTGATATATAGGACACCAAATACATACGCGCCACACAAGATTTCTTGGTGGCCCACAGACGATTTCAAACTAGTATTTTGTATAAAATTAGTGTAGTAACCAGCGACTTGAAGCATATAACTGGTTTTTCTACACATAAACTCGATAAGTTGGTAAACGCCAGATACATCATGTCATATTTCGAAGTCATGTGGTAGGCAAGGAAAGAAACTGTGAGCGGGATATCGGGAGCCAATGAATTATTTACTTAGTCAAAGTAACTTAGTCAGTCAGTGACAACGTAGAACTTCGTACGTACGTACATCAGTTCAAGTTGCCATACCACATTAACACAGAGATGCAATTGTCGATTCAAACCCCATAGTGGTAGAGGTAGTAAAAGTATGAGCAGTAATCGGAAAGATTAGGGTTTGATGATTTTATTCAAGGAGTATAATCCTGTGAAATAAATCTGGAAAGAGAAGAAAGGATGGATATGATTTATTTATTTAAACACATATTGGTACAAGGAAGCACCAGATACATATGCACCACACAAATCTCATTCGATTTGTGTGAGGGCTGTGATACTGTCCAGGTGCCCAAACCATAGTAGGTGCTTTTCTTCGGAGGCCACACGCGGAACCTTTGACCTAGAGGTCCAATCCACAAGGCAGTGGGGCATCGTGAGGAGATGCAGTCCCATGGTAGTCGGTGACCAACAATTGATTCATACGCCATTTGTTCCTTCAGGATACTGGAGCCCATGTGCACCATTGGTTTGGGATTAGGGTTTTTCAACTCTCCTAGGTGGACTTGCAGTGTCCACCAACCCGGTTAAAGCGCCGGACATTCGCTCTTCGACCTCTCAATTTCGTAAACAACACCCGTTTCGAGAGAAGGCAGTGAGTAGGACTTCTCTGGTACCGCCCATGACCAGTTTGTTGAACGCACATAGGTTTGCAAATCTCTCACCATTTTCGTTCCTTTCTCCTAGTCCATGTCATTCCATGTTTTCATATCCAGAGTTGTCCATTCCAACGTTGGCAATTAGGTCTCCCATCAGAATGGTCAAGTCTTTTGTTGTATATTTCTCAACGATTGACCGCAGCCTACCATAGAATTGATCTTTAATATCTTCACTGTAATCGTTGGTAAGCGCATAACATTGGACGACGTTTATTGTAACGCCCTCTCTCTCTGTTTTGAAGGAGGCTTTGACAATCCTGGGTCCACGAGATTCCCATCCTATAAGTGCTTTTTGTGTTTTTTTGGACAGCATCAATGTAACTCCTTGTGTATGTGGAGCATTTTCTTCATGGCCGAAGTATAATAGCAGTCCCACTGAAATTAGTCTTTGTGGTCCAAACTGTGTCCGATGTGTTTCACTGATTCCAAGCACCTCCAAGTTGTATCTCACCATTTCTGAAGCAATTTGGATGACTCCCCAGGTCTCCCACATGGTATGGTTGCTCTGGTTGTCGGAAGGGAAATCGGCCTTGTGACTTCCGAAGAAACCCGAATTTTACCATGAGGCGTCATAACTCTTCCAAATGAAGATCTTCTAACTCCCAGGGCAAAGTTTAAGTGGTTCGGATAGCTTTTTATGGTTAGCGTTTTTTAGCGAGTTAGCTTTTTACGGGATGGGGTCGCTAACCCCAGGGTTGAGCATTTAAACCTGTCTGAAAGTTGAGTGAAAAAAACTTGTGCTCGGTAAATGAGGTCCTTTACTTCATTTTATTGATACACAGTGCGCTAAACCATAATGATGTGAAAGGTAAACATAAAGAATCCTTTAAAACCCAAAGGACAACAGTTTTCGGCATATTTGATAATGTCACCATTTGGATTTAAAACAAACAATACACCGTATTTTAAACTCATTAAATAGTACCTGTATTTCGCGTTGAGGTTTATATTGAGATTCTAACCCAGTACCTCCTACTTTAAGAGACAACTCCTTATCCACTGAGCTACCGTCCACATGGTCAACGACTTATTCCGCGGTCATGAATTTGTTGATGAGGGCCCACAATATTTTGTAGTTCATATCCAGGACTGCAGGTGATCAGCTGCCCCCAAATGCCCTGGTACGGCCGAGAGTGGGGAGAGTCTACTCTCCCTCTCGAAATGCTCTCACATGGCCAGCGAATATATAGCCTCTGCCAGGGAAGTCCTACTCACTGCCTTCTTGTGGCGGGGGTGTTGTTTACGAAAGTGAGAGGACGAAAAGCGTATGTCCGGCGCTTTAACCGGGTTGGTGGACACGGAGGGTCCACCTAGGGGAGTTGGAAAACCCTGATTCCAAACCAATGGTGCACATGGACTCCAGTATCCTGATGGAACGAATGGCGGACGAACCTGTCATTGGTCAACGGCTACCATGGGACTGCCTCTCCTCACGATGCTCCATTGCCTTGTGGATCAGACCTTTTGGTCAAAGGCTCGGGGTGTGGCCCCCTAAGAAAACCACCTGCTTCGGTTTGGGCACCCGGGCAGTATCACAGCCCACACACACAAATAGTGTGGCGCATATGTACCTGGTGCCCTTTTGTACCAATATATGTGTTTAAATAAGATAAATAAAATTATGTTGTGATGTGTGCATCTCTAGTGGGTTATTTTAGCATAAGATTTAGTTACGATATTTCAGTATATCTGGTATCTGGTCAACAGTAGTCCTGAATATCAACAACAGGAAGTTAAACTCACAACAGTACACTAATTCCAGAATTTTATGACAACTCAAAATTAGTCGCTTTCCCCTTCCTAAATAGCACTTATATAATTCCAGCAACTGGTTGGAAATAGGATTATGAAGTACTTCATTGTGGCTGAGAACTTAGCTTGAACAAAGTAGGAGACCAAACAGCGGATTTAAAGAATGAGTATCGGAAACTGACAACTTTACTTAACGTATAGAACGATGGCGTAAATAAAACCCACTTATTGCCTTATTAAAATAAAGCAAAACATCGAACATGTATAGACAAAGGAAATTTAAAGTGGAGTATCTTTTTAGATGTAGATATGGTAAAAAACCTTACAATGACCTTTGAGAAGTGTTTCGTTCGGACAGTAAATTGTGTCAGACACATGTGTGTATTAGTACCAAATCGAAAAGTTATGGGAGTAGAGGTCAAAGCACAATGAAACTCACACAGTGAATTAATAATTTAACTCTAGGAATAGCGACGTTAGATACGTTACCCTAGAAGTTTTGAAGAGAGATGTAAGCAGAAAGAAAAAAATGATCGCGCTGGAAAAAAGCGTACAATGGCATCCTATAAAACCAGCAATACACATGGTACATAACCAAATCTTACTACGTTGGAGCTACGTGAACTAGACATTAGCCGAGAATTATCGAGAAATTTACATCCAAAAACGTGAGACTACTTACTTTAATTGTTCTATGGCTACTCTTGCTTTTTTAATACCACCCCCAGCTAATGGAACATGGGGTGTTGCAAAATTTGTTTTTCTGGTACTCCGTTTCCTATAGTTCTTTGGCGTACTTTCATACACCGGGTCACTTAGATCATCCATCACCAAAAACAAAGTCAACTAGCCGCTTTGGGCCATATGTGTCCATAGTTGAATCCGTTAAACACAATCCACCAAATGTTCAATGAATCCTATGATTTTATAATAAGAATATATCACTGAAATATCTCTTCGCATTAACATCTTGATGTTATAGAAAACCTTTGAATATTTAGCAGCATTTAGTGACGTTAGTCTTGATAATCGAGTATGGTGGTACAATATTTTCATATTCAGGTTTGATTCAGACTTGTGTGGTAAGGACAGTAGGCGTACAGCCTATGCTATTCTTTTTCTAGTACGCTTCTATTAGTGTCTTGCCTTTTATTGCATGAGTCAATTGAAGGTGAGGACATCACTGATTTTGATAACAGGTTCCAAGTATTGATGACGGTGTGAAAAACTTCATGCCATTAGTATTTTGTTCGTTCTTGGCTTATCTTCAGTCTTCAGTAATAAGGATAGTAGGTTGATGAACCTGTGTTAATCCTGACAGATTTCCTTCCAGTGAAGGTCCAGCTTCTTTTTGAAGATGTTCACTGATGGTGCTGATACCACTTGTTCTGGTAAAGCGTTCCAGTCATTGACCACTCGATGAGAAAAACGGGACCCCACCTTTAGTTTATTATCTACTCACCTGCTATGTCCTCCAATATGCCCCGGTCTAGTGAGAAAAAAGAGAGAATTCATAAGGTCCGAAATCATTTTTTAGTATTCTACACATCAAAATCAAATCACCTTTTAATCTGCGATAGGACAGAGTAAAGAGGTCTAGCTTTTCAAGCCCCTCCTTGTATGGTTAACTTCGGAGTTCTGGAGTTGCACGAATAGCTGCTCTATGTATCTTTTCCAGGATATCCGAGTAACCTTTTAAACAGAGGCCTGCAGCCTGTACTCAGTTTTCAAGCTTAGTCCTCACTAATGTTGTGTTTATTATGAACATGGTGGAATCTAACTTAGTGAATGTCCCTCAACAAGCCCATAGGGTTCTAAACCCCTTAGCTGCGTCATCCCGACAAGGGGCAGTGGTCTCGAGATGATGAATAACTGTCACCCCAAGATCCTTGTGAGACTAGACCACGGGTAAATGCACTTCAAATAAGCTGTACCTATTCAACTTTTTATCCCCAAATTGCATGTAGACACACTTTGCCGCGTTCATAGAAATCGGCCACTCTTTAGACCAGTTGATCACAATATTTAAGTCCACCTGAAGCGCGCATGCATCTGCGTCCCCAGTTATTCCCCTCCAGATTTCCACATCATCAGCCTATAATAACATTGGGGACTCAAGCATAATTGAGAGTTTATTTACATACAGTATCAAAAGTAAGAGAACTAGGACAGAACTTTGAGGTAATACACTCAGTACTGGTCTCCGAGTGAAACACTTGTATTTTGCTATTACTTCTGCCTACGACCTACCAGGAAATCCTCAAGTCATTTTAGGAGAGGTCCGGCAATGCCATAATTTTCTAGCCTCAAGAGCAGTCTATTCGTTGGCATCTTGTCAAATGCTGTGCTGAAGTCTATGTAGACAACATCCACTGATTTTCCATTGTCCAGAGCCTCTATACATTGCTCCCTTGCTATAAAGAGGTTTGTTGTGCAATACAAATCTTTACTGAAACCCTGTTGTTCTCTGTTTAGCAACTTATTTATTTTCACTAATGTCATTATAGTCTTTTCGATTATTGTTATCGGTATTTTGACTATGACTCTGGTGGAGTTGACAGGTCTGTAGTTTGATGAAAGTTGTTTTGGCCCTGTTTTATGTATTGGAGTGACAATTGCGTCCTTTCGGGCCGTAGGCAACACACCTTGGTTAAGTGACATTGAATACCACGGTCAGTGGTGTTGCAATACATTGCGCAATTTGTTTCAGGATTTCGGGGTGTATTTCATCCAGTCGTCTAGTCTAAGGTGATAAGAGCCTTAAGTATATCGTCTTGTTCGAAGTCCACGGTGAGCAGACGGTTCGTTGACGTTGTATCTGGGTCTAGCTCTTCGTCTAAAAGAGGCTCGTGATTGAAAACTGTCCCGAAATGGTTTTCCATAGCCTCTTCTTCTTCCTGATCATTCTTTTTCATTTGAGACCCACTCCCTTCTATAAATGAGTTGGGAATTGGAAGCTGAGTCCTAGTTCTATAATTTGTGTACGTGAACAGATTGGGCTAACTGAATTTCATATTTTCTATGAGCTTCCCGGACTTTAATTACACACTTATTTCTTACCGATCTGTAGAGTTCCATCGTACCTGCTGTGCTAAGGCTTAAGGTAACGTTCCAACATCTCTTGTTTTGCCTTAACAAACGTCGAATATTCCGGCCTATCCAGGGATGACTGTGCTTTTTCTACGTTTGGACTGTTCAGGGCATGTATGGTTGAGTTATCCGATTGTATAACTGCCTGAAATAGGTTCATGCCTTTTTTACTGGTGCCCCTAAGTCACTTATCCAGTTTTAAGCCGAGGCTTCAGAGTTGATAGCTTTCATGTCTGTCTTTAATATGTAAGTACGGGCCAGTGCAACTGTTTGACAGGCCATCTCAGCAACAAACGTGAGTACGTTGACCGCATAATCACTTCTCGCTAGGGGTGATTGGAAAGTCATTTGGTGAACATTGTCACTATATGTGAAGACTAAGTACAAGAGAGATGAGTAGCATCGTAAGTCATATCTGGTGGGATCTCTTACATGATGGGATAAAACTGGCTCTATCATGGTTTCTAACGATTCTCAATCAAATGACGTTGTTGATAATAATAGTAATAATGACACTACTTCTAAGTTTATCCAGTTTACATACGAACTTTTACCCTATTAGCCCAGGACTTAAGTTTACTTAGGAGGATTTAATCGAATAAAGTGTTTGTAAACGCGATGAAAGCTTTTTTCTAAATGTCTTCTGTCCCTAGTAGTCTTTAGTCTTTAGGAACATATCAGGTCTTTTCTTTAAGAACTCCTAGGAAGTTGCTTGAACTACCTATGCCGGTAGCTTATTTCAAGACATGACCACTCACAAAGAGTTGGCATGTCAACAGTCCAGTTTACTGTGTTCTGGCTCTGAACTCTGGTCACTGTTCTTAAGGCTCTTCTTTTTACTGAGCTTAAGTACGCAATTCATCTTCCGAAAAATTTAAAATGATAACACTTTTTCACGTGATTTAGAGAATTTTCGACTTGTTCTTTTGTAAGCTGTATTATACTGAGATTATTCTATCTTGTATATCGGGCACATTTTACCCCGAAAAAATAATTTTGACGGACACTTAACAGTTAATATATACACCTTGAGGACTTCGTTTCCGACATATCCTGTATAAGTCCCCAGCAATTGACATTGACGAGTTTTTATCTTTGGATTATACTAATTGAAATATTGATATTCCATTGATCGTTACTTTCCTACTTAATAACTGAACAACTTATATCTGAAAAACACTATTTACTCACAGTCTCTGATCCTAGTACTAACCAGGTTAATGCTTAACAATAACTATATACTCAGTTATTCTATTTAGTTAAACGAGCTCTTTACTCACCCAACTTGAAACTGCATTCTCTTACAGTGATTGGGACGGTAATAAGCCATGCATTACGAAAGAGAAATCTGTTGAAATGTAATGATCGACTTTCAGAACATCACATACGTATGATCACAGAAACGAGTGTTTGGTAACATTATAAGGGTTAGTTTTACCAACCTTTTTATCTTAGAATAAATCTACAAAAACAAAGTTTGTCCATTGACGTGTAGAATCCATCGATTTAACATGAATGGATTGACAAAACAAGTCACGAATAAATTTTTATCAGACCAAGGAATTCATATTGACACCAAAAGATGAACGACTTATTTGATGATACGAGTATTTCATTGTTCATGAACAGATTGCTAATCAGTGGATGCAGTCAAAGAACATGTTTATCTACAGAATAAAAATGCGAAATGAACATAATCAAACATCACAAGTGATTTGAACAAACTAGATATCTGGTCGAACGTTATCTCATCACCTAGGGCTTGCCTGTTAGGTATACTCTTTGAACGCCGTATCACTGATAGATATTCATTACAGGAATGATTTCAACATTTACTCATTAGAGTATGGGAGTCTTAGAGTTGACGCCCTAATGACTTATGGCATCTTAAACACCTTTGGGTATCCCCTTTAACACCTACTTATGCTTAGTACTGAAAATGTCACAGGTATTCGGAATTTGACAACGCTTTAACCAGCAACACTTATCATGAATCGTACCCGCCAGGTAAAATCAAAAGACAGAAGCGAGGAGGTTGGAAGATATATTTGATAGGTTATTGATACATCGTGGATCGACTGCTCTAATCTGGCTAGCGATTATGGGGGAATTGGAGCATGTCGTTCCCACTCATGATCTGGCGCAGGTTCATGGCCAAGGGCCTTCAGCTAGGTGGTTGCATTAGAACGAATGTGTTCAGCATCCAATGTCGAACACTTACAGAGCTATTGATCTTGAGGATCTGTTTACCGCTACAAATCACCCCCTCTCCTAGTGGAGTAGTGATGACCAGACGACTTGTCCAGCCAGAAATTTAAACGCAACAGGCTGAACGCTCGTGAACACTTTTCTGATAGCTTGATATGTTTAGCAGCATCTGGTCGTCTTTCTTTACTCAAAGGGACGATGAAGTACAACAAAGTAATAAGGAAACAAAGTACAATGGAAATGTCGGCTCCTTGTGAACTCTATCGTTCCTTATATCGTCTTTTCCAGCCATTCTGGAACAGAAAAAAGAAAGTGTACATGCATATCGAAGTACACTGGTAAAGACACAAAGCGGGAAAAAAAAGGTAAATAAATTCATACACCTGCGACAGCGTAAACGCAATTTTTAGAGAATTTTTTTCGGGTTTTTATCAAATAAAAATAATAAATATACGTATATAAAAAAATTTTGTTTTTTGAGGTAAATAAATAAGTACAAGCATATTAAATTTATCATATATAATGTAAAGGAAAATGGAGATATAGTAAAATATTAGCCAGTGCTTTTTGTGCAATAATCGTTTAAATATTCTAGAAATCTTACTCTTCTTCCAGAACGCTTTGTTTTAAGTTTGTTTTCAGATGCTGCCGAAGTATCAACGTGTGTGTTGGGTGTCGGATGAGGTTGTAGCTGTAAATAATTCCCCAAAATCAATAGTTCATTAAGTGTTCGACATTGGATGCTGACAGCTACCTTGAAAGGTACAACTGTCTTTTCGACTGACGATATTCCTAAAACCACCATCATCACTCCCTTCGGTCTTTACGAATTTCTACGAATGCCCTTTGGTTTAAGAAACGCGGCTCAAACCTTCCAAAGGTTTATAGACGACGTCTTCCGAGGTCTCAACTTCGTACATGCGTATGTTGATGACTGTCTAATAGCAAGTCCGGACAGAGAATCGCATCTCAAGCATCTGGACATTGTTTTCGATCGACTCCAAAGGCATGGCATTACTGTCAACATACAGAAATGCCAAATAGGAACAAACTCCTTAGACTTCCTAGGACACACTATTGATGCTCAAGGCATCCGACCTCTTAGAAGCAAAGTAGCGGCCATTCTGGATTACCCAGAACCGACCACGATCAAGCACTTACGAACTTTTAACGGATTCGTAAGTTTCTATAGACGGTTCATACCTAAATGCGCATCCCTTATCAAACCGTTAACCGATCAGCTTCGTGGAAATGCGAAATCAATTAGTTTAGACGACATAGCCCGTAAAGCATTTTCCACAGTTAAGGAACACATCGCTAAAGCAACCTTGCTTGCTCATCAGGACAGTCAAGCGCCCATTAGTATCGCCGTAGACGCATCCGACTCAGCAATCGGAACAGTCTTACAACAATGGGTTAACAACTCGTGGCAACCTTTAGGATTTTTCTCGAGACGGTTGCTAGACGCGGAATCTAGGTACAGCACGTTCGGTAGGGAACTCCTAGCTATGTATTGTGCTGTACGGCATTTTCAACATTCCATCGAAGGAAGAGAATTCACGCTTTTACCGATCACAAACCTCTTACCTTCTCTTTAAGTTCATCTTCAGACAAGTACTCACCGCGAGAGTCTCGACAACTCGATTACATTTCGCAGTTTACTTCAGACATACAACATATTTCTGGAGCTAACAATGTAGTCGCAGACGCCTTGTCTCGAATAAATTCCTTGAACAGTTTCCAAGGAATCGACCTTCTTAAACTCGCTCAGCTTCAAAAAGAAGACATTGATCTTCGGCATGAGTTATCCTCGACAACTCTTAAACTAAGTATTAAGCAGATGGAAACAGGTAAGGAAACCTTACTCTGTGACACATCTACAGGTAGGGATCGTCCAATTGTACCAAAACACTATCGCCGCAACGTCTTCAATACGTTGCACAATCTTTCTCATCCAGGTGCTCGTGCGACAATCGAACTTATAGCCGAACGCTTTTGTTGGCCTGGCATGAATAAAGACGTGAGGGAGTGGGCACGCTCCTGTATAAGCTGTCAGAAATCTAAGGTAATCAGACACAACAAATGTCCCTTAGGTTCTTTCAAAACCCCTGACGCTCGTTTCGACCACGTCCATCTAGATTTGGTAGGACCCTTACCCGACTCGAACGGATACTCATATCTCCTAACATGCGTAGACCGTTTCACTCGATGGCCAGAAGCAGTACCGATTAAGGACATTGCTGCTGAAACCGTGGCCCGCGCTTTCGTCGAACGATGGGTAGCAAATTTCGGCTGCCCTTCAACCATCACTACAGACAGCGGACGCCAGTTCGAATCTGGACTTTTCCGTTGTCCAACATCACTATTAGGAATCACGCGCTTCCGAACGACCGCCTACCACCCACAAGCAAACGGGTTGGTAGAACGTTTTCATTGACAACTAAAAGCTTCATTATCAGCTTCAAACGTTTCACAGTGGACAGACGCTCTTCCACTCGTCTTGCTAGGTATCCGCAATGCAGTGAAAGCTGACATTGGATACACGGCATCTCAACTCGTTTACGGAACGACACTCCGACTCCCAGGAGAATTCGTGGATCCTTCAGCTTCTTCATTGAACATGGATCTAAACTCTTACACGAGTAGGCTTACAAACGCTATGCGTTCAGTTAAACCTGCTCACACTCGACCTCAATCAACTGATGTTTTCGTTCAACCCGAATTACAACATAGTACACACGTCTTCGTTCGTCGAGACTCACATCGACGACCCCTCGAATCAGCATACGAAGGACCCTTCAAAGTTCTTCAACGCGAACCTAAGTACTATGTAGTTGATAAGAACGGTACGAAAGATAGCATCAATATCGATCGACTCAAAGCTGCGTACCTAGAAGGAAACCCTAGCTACGTCGATTTTCCTTCGGTACAAGCAAACGACACAGCTACTACACTCGTAGTACCCCACACGACAACCGACACACAACTTGATACTTCGTCAACGTCGACAGAAAAACATAAAACAACGCGTTCTGGAAGACGAGTCAGATTTCCAGAACATCTTAACGAATATTGCACGTAGGACATAAGCTTTATCTTGAATTACCCTTCCATAGTTCATTATAAAAAAAATTTTAATATGATAATTTTTTATTTATATAAAAAAACCAAAAAAACAAAACATTTTTATCTTTTTTTTTGAGCGTATATATATATACTTTTTATATATAAAAAAACCCAAAAACAAACCATTTTTTTCCAATCGCTTTTACGCTGTTTGTAAGTGTATCAGTTTATTTTTTCCGCTCATCTTGCGTCCTTACGCAAGTACGAGCGTATTTTCGACATGCACTCACACGTTTTATTTTTCCTCTTTTCCAGGACGGCTGGAAAAGAACGACGAAGTTTCGCAAGAAACTGAAATTTTCATTGTACTATATTTCTTTATTGCTATGTTGTACATTTTGGTCCCATAGTTTAAGGAAAGACGACCAGATGCTGCTAAACGAAGCAAGCTATCAGAAGAGTGTTTACCAGCGACAAACTCGTTGGGTTTAAACTTCTGGCTGGTCACGTCTTAGGGGCATCACTACCTCACTAGGGGGAAGTGATCTGTAGCTGTAAATAATTCCCCAAAATCAATAGTTCATTAAGTGTTCGACATTGGATGCTGACCACGTGTTTAAGTGGACTTGTTTAGCTGAAGGCTTTCGGTCATGCATCCGCACCAGATCACGTTTCAACACGGCGTGGGACACAGCTCCTACGTTTCATTAGCCAGCTCATACAAAAGGTCCTCGATACATTGGTAACGAATCAAATATATCTTTCCTGCCTCTTCTCGTCTGACTTCCGATTTCTATCTGACTGGGAACAATTGAATTTAGAAGGTGCTACTGGTATCTAGTTGTAAAACTAGAATATCCGTTGCATCATCAAGGTACTATAAGTGTAGGTGCCGTGTCGTTCGATTGTGCCGAAGGAAAGTCGACGCGGATAGGATTTCATTCTAAATTTTTGATTCGATCGATGCTGATGCAATCATTAGTGCCGTTCTTATCAAATGGTTAACACATTGTTGTCAGACTCCTCCTATTGAGGAGTCGAATTCGTCCACTGCGACAATAGTGGGTGCTCGGGTGTCCTGATATGTCAGCATGGTTGCCTTTGCGATAAGTTCCTTAAATGTGGAGAATGTTTTTCGCGCGGTGTCGTCCACACTAATGGACTTCGAATTTCCACGAAGATGATCTGTTAGCAATTTCATTAGGGATGCGCATTTCGGTATGAACCGTCTATAAAAACTTACAAGACCGTTGAATGTGCGCAACGGCTTAATCGTGGTCGGTTCTGGGTAATCTAGAATGGCCATCACTTTGCCTGTAAGAGGTGGGATGCCTTGAGAATCAATAATGTGTCCTAGGAAATATACGCAAACAGATAAATTAGTGTTTCCGTCTACCAGCCTCCTCCAGCCTTTTTAGTCGTTCGAAAACAATGTCCAGATGCTAGAGATGTAATTCTCTGTCCGAACTTGCTATCAAGCAGTCATCAATATACGCATGTACGAAGTTGAGACCTCGATGAACCTTTGTAAGGTTTGAACAGCATTTCTTAGGCCGAAAGGCATTTGAAAATATTAGTTAAGTTCGAAGGGAGTGATGATAGCAGTTTTATAGGCGTTAAAGAAGTCGATTTTCGGATAGACAGTCGAGTTGTTGATTTTTGGGATCTATTTACCGCTACAGTCACAACCCGAAACTTAAGGATAACACTCTGGAACTGGACACAAAATGCGGAAGAACGGACTTTAGACACACTTTCAACTTTTTAAGAGTGGTTAAATGCTGGAATTGGCTGCTGACAGAGCTGGTCCAAGTGACTTTGCAGGAGGCCTTTAAGAGGAAACTTGACCTGTTCTTAAGGACTAAGGATAACTTCTTATTATGAAGTCTTGAGCGATTTCTCGGACCAAACGCTGGAATGGAAGTTTACGAATCAGAAGTTCGGTGTTCTTCTGGTAACGACAGATCTCTCGAAGGGCAACGGTCCCGAGTCGGTATCTGCGTGGCTTCTTCACGCCCCTGGTAGCCGGTGCACGTTTACGCACAGCCTTGGTGGCCAGCTGCTTACGAGGTGCCTTACCTCCCGTTGATTTGCGAGCAGTCTGTTTTGTTCGTGCCATACTGAAACACCAACCTCTTTTTTCCTCTGTAATCGGTAATATGCCTAGGTTTCTACCTTGAGGTATTGGTGATCCGCTGCGAAAGATTCTTCTATTCCATCCACAACCATTTGAACCCTTCGAACCATTTGAACTACTTGAACCATTTTGAATCAGGACGGTACTCTTTCGAATGACAGACTATTTCAACCTGCTTCCCTCTGAAATATCAGGGCTTGTTCTCGGTTAGCAACATTATTGAGGGTTTATTTTGTAGGATTTTTGCGAGATAGCAATTGCGTTGTCGCTGCTGGTGCTTTCCTTCGAGAAAATATCCACTTATCTGAGTTTCGTCATCACTATGCATCAGTGAATGAGATACCTTTATATTTCAGAGAACTAACTTTACTGGATATTGTCCATGATTACATTCATATTGTGAATGAAGGTAAGTCGATGTTTTGTGTGATCGACAATGATGATATTTATTCATTAGTTTGAATCTTAATTAATGAGGTTAGGTGTGACAGCTTTAAGTTTGTCACTTGCTAACGGATTTCAGACGAAATGTATCAGTTTGTATGTTCGCTCATACCACCTTTTTTCTGGTTATTTAGACAGGTAGATTAAAATCGTAAGTATTCCTTTTTTTAGGTTATCAGGAGGTTCTACTGCTGCTCGAATATGATCTATTTTTAATTACAATGTTTCTTGGCATAAAAATTAAGTGCGGAAAGGTAATGATGCATTTACTAAGCACTCCACAAGCCTATGAGTTCGTCAGGTGCTAATTTGAGCTTCATGGAGAGATGTAAGTAGATTTGGGTTAAAGTCAACACTATGGTCGTGATTATTCATGGGTAAATTTGATGTCCCTGAGTTCAATCAGGGTTATTTACATAAGACTACTGATGGGAACTGCAAGTAATGCCCCAGCCAATAAAGTCTTACTGCTGTATGCTCCTAAGGGTTGTATGACCGTCCAATTTAATTTTAAATACTAGTGTCGGTCACTTGTAAATTAATTAAGTATCATACTTCTCAATCCGTGTTTTTCACTGTCTTCCAGCTTCAGGTGGAGTGTGACTCAAAATCAATTCGTAAGGAACGCTCCACCTCCTTACTGACATGCACAACAAGTTATATTTCAATACAATGTATTCTGATTGTGTATCTGTTTAAACTATATTTATTACTGTTATTTTCATTTATGTTATTATTTGTATTATTTGATGATATTCTGACTATTTATTCACCAAGTCGCCATTTCATCCCATGTCGTTCACTTTTTGCTGTCGTATTTTACCAGGCTCTTGCAGGTAAATGTAACATCTGCTAAGTACAAGTTTATATACACGGCTTTCAGCCATCATATGGAAAGTTGGTTATTTCGTTCAACTGTCAAACAAGTAGATACAGTTGGGTTTAAATATGTTATGTAGTGGGCAAGACCGTAATAATTTAAGCATTAAATCGGTGCTTCACGTTTGTAGTCAGTTCGTTATGATACATACAATCTATAATAAAGACTGTTTGAGAATGCAGTATGTATTAGAATAAAAGGTCTTTAAAGTACGTTTACAGCGTATCATATACCATTCCAAACTCGTTTAGATTTTTTCCGTAAAATAATCTGTAATTTTTAATTTAATTAACTTACCAGGCACTTGTGTATGGGTCATGCTATGAGCTAATTAAAGCTAATTTTATTACCTGGTTACCCAAGTCGACGTCGAAGTGGGATTCGAGACCGAAATCTACTGTCTGAAATATGAACACCCTAACTACTAAGCCGCCGCCCTACTATTCTCTAGTATATTTGCGCTGTAGCGGGTTTTATTGCACTAGAACTCAAGCTTCTCTGAATAGTCATTTACATTACTGAGTTTTCACAACTCTCCAACTTCCTTAGCTATTCAAATAGCGTCGTAGGATATGAACTAATTTTTGTGCAAATAGTAAAAATGGTAATTAAATTTACTAGCCTTTCGGGGTTTCAAATCGCTATTTAATAGATGGAATCCGAGTGCCAAAATTATTGCATCGTGTTACTACAAATGAAGATTTGTATGCTAAGAAATCTGAGAGTCCTACTTTAATTTAGTCAAAGAAAATATCTTGTGTTTAATTCGCTGAGTTTATAAAATCTGGTTGAATAGAGTATTCTCGTAAATAAGTAACATCATTAGGCTTTGTTTATTGATATAATGGGGATCATTCTCTCGTACCTATTCAATCCTTTTTTTAACAAACAGATATTGTTGTTTCCTCCCGTCAATAATTATGTAATTCAGTGTAATAAGCTGATCTTTGTGGTACGCATTCACGTAAAATCAGTTTGCTCTCTAATATCAATTAATCTCTTAATGAAAACAATGCATTTTGCTTCTCATGTGTATGTTACACCTTACATTTCAGTCATCCCTCATTTAAAAAAGGCCAATATTCCATGGCAACTGGGGAATCTAAATGCTTCCATAACACAACTTCTGCAGTCGTTTTCTGAAACTTGTTCATCAAATTTACGACCGAAATCATTTCGTCCTATTCATCCTGTTTGGATGCCCTTAGGGAAATCCTATGTACCGCCTAAAATAATACCGGCTGATAAATGCACTACAGTTCGACCTCCACTTGCTACCGTAAAACCAAATGTAACTATGGCTTCATTACCTAATATGATAAGTGAGTACTTTAAATCATCATGTCCCATGTATTGATGCTATGGACCACTTATGTTTCGAAACTAATCTCCATCAATCATTAGATGTTCAATAGGTCTATGTACTTCTTTGGTGACACTAGGTTCTTGTGTACGAGTCATTTACCATTATTATCATTATTATTATTGTTATTATTATTATTATTATTATTATTATTATTATTATTATTATTACTATTATTATTATCCGGGTCATTCTGTATTAACAACATACTTAAGAATGTGAGATCTCGCTTAATAAAAACGTAGTGACTCGACGATGAATAGCTGTGAATTGATTCATGCTATCCAGATGCACCCTTTTTGTTTTTTGGAGAGTCTGTCGGCTTTTAATCTCAACAACTGTTCAATACGAGATAATCCATCACTTTGAGATGGATCATTAGACCAAAATAAAGCTATTATTTGATGTGAGAAATTTCTTTTTCAACAATTGTACGGAGTATAAGTGAGATATATCATATAAACCTGAAGTTGTAATGCGACTCACTTAAGGGAGTTCCATTTTTTTGAAAAATGTAACTTAAAACTATAGCAGTATCGCCACTGATTTCTATTTCGACCCTTATCTTATGACTTCCTAAGCCACTCAGTTGTACCATCTCTAGTACTTCAACTGGGTATTTGTGATGGACTCACTGATGCCAGTCCTTCACAAAGTTTTTTTAGAACCAGCGCTGTCATAAACTGATCATTTTATCTTTCCATTCAGTCCCGAGGTAGGCGAATGATGCACGATGCGAAAGTCACTGGAACGACATTCACAAAATGTTTTCGAGCAACCGAAGCTAGTTTTTCAGGATGGTCATAGTGTAGTGAACAAAACACTGGTTGGGGACAATAGAATGTATTTAGACACAAATTACAGACTAACTAAATTCTGATAACTATACAACAACTAGTTAATTTGCAAAATAACCGTCAATTGTCTCAATCTTCACTGTTCCTTCTGTAAATATCAGTTCATCTTCTCTAATTCAATTGCTCATGCATTTTCCTACCAATTGCACTTCATTTCAGTTCTTTCCTTATCGGTCTTCTGCTGAAATACATTCTATGTCTGACCATCACCATATACTACTTATATGGATATAAGTAGACCACACTACAATAGTAAGATAATAAAGTCCTAAATGGGTAGAAAATTGTAATTATTCTCATGTCTTTTAGTTTATCCCTCTGATCTCTCTATAACTTCAGGTTCAAATTCAACCAGTGGGTTAGGTGCTGGTACTGTGTGTTCACTAGACAATAAGTCATCTGGTTTAAGAGCCAATCGACCAGTGTTACGAATATATAGACAACCTGTAGCAGCTAACAAAGCAAATGTATTCAATTTCGATCTGTATAGCAGTGGTTTGCCGAAATCCTCATCTCATCAAACACCACAGTCTAACATAGTTGCGTCAAAATCTAATGCTGATCCTATGCAGTCTATGGTTCACCTACAAAACAAAACAAAACGTTTATCAGAGACATTACTTACTACTACTGTCATTAGTAACAGTAATAGTGATGCTCTATCCCCGTCAACATCTTGTAATTCTGTGATAGTTCAACAGTCGCCTATATCCACAACAATAGCATCAGAAGAAACCATGAATGATGCCAATGTTCAATCTATAGGTGTGATCAATCAAAACGAAAATATTACTTCACAACAAATATGTCTTAATGTTCAATCAAATGATATAAGCGATCATCAACAGATTTCTGATAATGGTTCCATATTTTCCGTATTTTCATTGTTACCTCCACCGGCATCGTCAGAGACGTTAGTTACAGATATGGTGATTTATCCTGTAATAACATGTGAAGATAATTTAAATGATGCAAAAAGTACTGATCTTGTTTCAACTAAAAGAAGACGGTAAGATAACCCAGTGTTTACTCATCTTGAGTAAAAGGTGATTATTCATACCTGTATGTATAAACAAGTATTGACATATAGGTTTGTGTAGATTATTGAATTTTCATAGTTTACCTCAATAACTCATCTTAATTAGGTATAACTCTTGAAATTACACACGGAAATACCCTTGTCTTCTTGATCACAACACTGATTTTGGTTGAGTGTAGAATCTGATTTAGTAAAAGTTTACTATACTAACGACCCTGAGTATCTGACCAGTTAATCAGGAAACATTGCATAGTTATGAAACAATTAATTATAAAAAGCAATAACATATCAGTGGAATAACGGTTTTGATACAAATAGTTAACCCATACATATTGAATTATTTACTATGCTAAAGGAAAATGGGTTGAATTTACACATTATGAATTGGGCTAGTGTTGTGACTAAGGGTCCATAACCCCGTAGGTTTTTCGTCACCGATTGACATCAGCTATAATTTACAAAGGTTTAGTTTATGTGGCAGGAGTTAAGCGTTATGAGTTAGGATCACGAATTAAGATTAGGGTTTTCATCACGAATTGATATAAGCTGTTATGCAACGGGATTTTGCAACCCTTTTGTTTACTTACTGTTGATATTTAAGGTCAGGAGTTAGGGTAGAAGAATACTATGCAGTTACATAAACTCACTGAATCGCTCATTGATTCTCATCAAGTGCTTGAGTACAGAATTTGCATCGGTAACAGGTATTTCTGATAATTTAGCTTAAGCATCATATTATATTCATCGTTTGGTTGTGTGGCAAATATTTTTTGCAGACAATTTCAAGCATTCTAGGGACCATGTATTGCTAATTTTCGCTTAGTTAGTAATAACATGCAAGCTATTTTGCACTGAGCTTTTAATTTCGCGTGAAAATCCATAATACTCCATCTTGAATCGGATTGGTTCAATCAATGCAAAGTGTACCGTTACTTTTAATTTTCCAAGGAACTTTATTTTTAAATATTTCCTATGGATACCTTAGTGAGACCACAATTTATGGACGGCCTTTGAGCATTGCTAAAGTGATTTTGAGAATACTCAACTGTGTTAGGGTCAAGAGATTGTTATAAGCCAGTTTGAGAAATCAAAGTTTTAGAGTCAAAAGTTAGGGTTAGGAATTAGAGTTTGAGTCTTCATCACAAACTGACGTCAGCTATAAATATTAGAATTCTTTTTAGTCGTATGGATAAACTGATTTAGCGTCGAAATCCAGGACTTAGTTTCTTAAATCTGATTAGTTCGTCCAAAAATTATAATCCCACCAACATTTCAGATATCATAATTTTATATATTTCTCCATTTTCATCATCCAGTAATCAACCACCACGTCAGTTATCACCTGGATCTGGCGTTGGAGGTACAATATTTAGTTTAACTAACAGTTATGAAGAAGAATTGGATATGGAGGTGAGTCACTGGTTTAAAATGGGAGTTGTAATTATTATTTAGAGGCGAGTTATAGCTCAGTGGTTAAGGTATTCAGCTTTCAACAGTAATTTCTAGGTTTGTACCTCGTTCCAACTACTTCGGTTTGGGCAACCGAGTGGTAGTATCATCACTCCTCACATTTAGAGTGTAAGTTGAAGTCATAAATACTGGTTTGTAAAACTAGTAAATAAGTTGAACAAATAATGGTGATTTTAGTAAAGTTCTTGTTATACGACTGGTTTTTCATTTGTTTTGCTTTTTCTTAATAAATGCACTTGGATATTTACCTACACCTGTTATCCCTCGAGGACTATAGGCGGCCCACCAGGATTCTCTGTCGAACTCTGTTTTGATAAATCCTTTTCACTTGTTTCCAGTTACTATTCATCCTTTTCACGTCTCATTCCCATTCCAGATGCAATGTGTTCCTTGGTCTTCCTCTTTTCGCTTTCCATTCAGGATTACAAGTTAGCGCTTGCCTTGTGAATTACAGTTTCTTCTGTTATTTGTAATAAGCCCCTAGCTCAGTATCTGAATACGCCTCACGTTCTTTTGAGTATATATATATATACATAGTGAGAGAGTCAGTCAGTCAGCTACAACGTAGGACCAGGCACATATATGCATCGGTCCAAGTTGCCATACCTCTTTAGCACAACAAGATGAACACCGGATTCATAGAAGCAATTAATTTAGTGATGGTAGTATATAAAGAAAGATTGTATAGAAGGATATAGTACAGGAAGGAAGAGAGATATGAAGCAATTTTAATCTCAAGGTTTAAGGGAAGATAAAGAGTGTATACACCTACGCCATTGTGAACGATTCTGAGCCATGTCACCTAGAGTCTCCAACCATTTATTACGATAGTCACGCGGACCCCAACCAGGTAGTCTGCATCTGCCAACATGGCTCAGGCTAGAAGTTAGTGACTTCAAACACTGATGCCATGTTTTGGTTTGGCCGCCCCTAACTCTCTTCCAACAATCCACAGTACTAGTTATCACAGCGCGTCGTGGTAATCGGTGTTCAGGCATACGTAACACATGGCCCAACCATCTCAGTCGATGAAGATTTATCACCTCATCAACTGATTTACCATCGTTACCTAATACCCTGCGTCTAACCTCACTATTACTTACCCGGTGATCCCAGCAGATGCGAGCAATATTTCTAAGGCATCTGTGGTCAAATACTAGTAACCTACGAGTATCTTCTACTCTTAATGGCCATGTTTCGCAGCCGTAAAGTAGAACAGAGCGAACTGCTGCGCAGTATACTCGTCCCTTAATTGATAGACGGATATCTCGTCTTCGCCATAGGTGACGTAAGTTGGCAAAAGCCAAACGAGCTTTTTGAATCCGTGCTGAGATTTCGTCAGACACCAACCCATTAGGGCTGATCAGACTTCCAAGATAAGTGAAGTTGTCAACGCGTTCGACTACTTCACTCCCTATCCTTAGTTCGAGTGTTGACGCAGGCCAGTCCTGGAGTAACAATTTACATTTGGATGGGGAGAAACGCATCCCAAACATCCTGGCATTATTACTCAGTTCCAACAGAAGACTCTGCATTTTGTCAGCGTCTTCACCAAACAGGACTATGTCATCTGCGTATTCTAAGTCGCTTAGTGGTCCCCCTGGTAGGAGATCAATTCCTGTAAACTCAGTCGACGAGAGTGTCATTTGCAGCAACAGGTCTATAATGAAGTTAAACAAAAATGGGGATAGTGGACAGCCTTGACGGACACCACTTGAGGTTGTAAAATCATATGACAGTTCACCATAAGCTCTCACTCGACTGATAGTGTTCGAGTAAAGAGCCTTCACAAGGTTTATGTACTTCTCAGGTACACCTTTCAATGACAGACACTGCCACAGAACCTCTCGGTCTACAGAGTCAAATGCTGCTTTCAAGTCAAGAAAAACTATCATTGTCGGACGCCGATAAGCATGTCTGTGCTCTAAAACTTGACGAATGGTGAATATGTGGTCGATACAGCCACGACCAGGTCTGAAGCCAGCCTGATTTTCTCGTGTTTGCAGTTCACGAGTTTTAGTTAGGCGCCTGATAATTATTGAGGCTAGTATTTTAGATACTATGTTAGTCAGACTAATCCCTCTATGGTTATCACAGGATGATTTTGGCCCCTTCTTATATATTGGGACAATCAGAGATTGTGACCAGTCGGATGGGATTACATCCGTCTCCCAGATTTTAGCCAGAATATTAGTCAACCTAATCGCTAAAATTGGACCACCATATTTAAAGACCTCTGGAGCCAATCCATCAGGACCAGCTGCTCTTCCTCGTTTCAGATTACCTATAGCCTTTTGAACTTCAAGTAGGGTCGGGGGGCCTACTTCAATGTTCCATTCAGGTTTTCTAGGAATAGTGGGTAGTTGTGCAGTAGCTGAAGGCCAGCTAAACTGCTCCTTAAAGTGTTCCGCCCATCGTTCTAAACGTTTGGGTAGAGAGCAGATAAGGGTTCCATCTTTTTCCGAGATCGTCTCACTTACACTTGACTTCTTAATTCCAGTTTCTTTTATTAGTCTGAATAGTTGCCTGGTGTTGCCTACAGCCGCTGCCTTTTCCATCTCTTTTGCTTTCGTTGCCCACCACTGCTCACGATCGTTCCTTAGACTTTTAGTTAACCTAGATCTAATTTGTTTACGCTCTTCGTCATGTTCAGAGCCTGATGGTATGAGTTTACGCGAATCCATCAGTGAAATAGACCTAGAAGAAATCCACTGGTTTTTTGGAGCCCTATGGTATAAATGACTAATAGATGTTACTGCTGTCTCCACAGCTGTTCGTATGCCTTTCCAAGCAGCATCTGGGTCAGTCTCGTTTACAGAACTGCCTAGATGTGAACTCAGTTGTCTCTGGAATTCACATTTGGCTTTCTCGTCCTCCAGTTCAATCCTAACGGGTCTTCTTAGTTTACTTTTCCTGCGTCCATTGAGGCGCAGACAAATGCGTGCTCGTATTAAAGCGTGATCAGAGTCTAAACAAGTATTCCAATACGAGCGACAATCTTCTATTGAGCCTCTCCAACGATGACTGATGACAATATGGTCTACATAGTGAGAGAGAGAATGAGAGCATTCATCGGTAAAATGTCAGTTGATCAGTCTTAATGTAAAACCTGGTTTAGTCTAACAATCAATGACTTCCTGAATTGATGTCACTTTTTAGTTTGGTTATTCGTAGCCTTCTTCCAACTTACCCCTTCACTAGTCAACACGTTCCATCGAGTTAGGCCGTGATTAGACACACGCAACACTTTACTCGATGAAAATATGCAACCTCATCAATCGATCTCCCATCTTCATCATGTACCTTATACCTAGCCTCAACATTCCTTACTTAGTCGTGTCATGAAATGGAAGCTATATTTTAAAGACAAGTATGATTAAAAGAACCCGAAACCCACTTTCGTATCTACTTTCATAAATTATGTTTCACAATCATACAGTAAAACAGAGCTCACTACCGCATAGCGTTGGATAACACTAATATTTCGTCTACATCACAAGTTTCACAAATTGACAAAAGCAAATCAACCATTCTTTATCTATGTCAATATCATCTAGACTTATTTATTTATTTATTTAAACGCCCCCCCAAATGCCCTGGTAACGCCCCCAAATGCCCTGGTACGGCCGAGAGTGGGGAGAGTCTGCTCTCCCTCCCGAAATGCTCTCATATGGCCACGCGAATATATAGCCTTTGCCAGGGAAGTCCTACTCACTGCCTTCTCGTGGCGGGGGTGTTGTTCACAAAAGTGAGAGGACGAAAAGCGAATGTCTGGCGCTTTAACCGGGTTGGTGGATGTGGAGGATCCACCTAGGGGAGTTGGAAAACCCTGATTCCAAACCAATGGTGCACATGGGCTCCAGTATCCTGAAGGAACGAATGGCGTATGAACCAACTGTTGGTCACTGGCTACCATGGGACTGCATCTCCTTACGATGCTCCACTGCCTTGTGGGTTAGACCTTTAGGTTAAAGGCTCGGGGTGTGGCCCCCTAAGAAAACCACCTGCTTCAGTCTGGGCACCTGGGTAGTATCACAGCCCTCACACAAATCGAATGTGATTTGTGCGGTGCATAAGTATCTGGTGCTTCCTTGTACCAATATTTATGTGTTTAAATAACTTGTTTTTTATTATTTTTATTTAAACACGTAAATATTGGTACAAGGAAGCACCAGATACTTATGCGCCGCACAAATCTCATTCGATTTGTGTGAGGGCTGTGATACTACCCAGGTGCCCAAACTGAAGCAGGTGGTTTTCTTAGGAGGCCACACACAGAGCCTTCGACCTAGTCGTCTGATCCACAAGGCAGTGGGACATCGTGAGGAGAGGCAGTCCCATGGTAGCCGGTGACCAACAGTTGGTTCATACGCCATTCGTTCCTTCAGGATACTGGAGCCCATGTCCACCATTGGTTTGGAGTTGTGGTTTTCCAACTCCCCTAGGTGAACTTTCCGTATCCACCGACCCGGTTAAAGCACCGGACATTAGCTTTTCGTCCTCTCAATTTCGTAAACAGCAGTAATGCCGCGAGAAGGCAGTGAGTATGACTTCCCTGGCGGAGGCTATATACGCATGGCCATGTGGGGCGTTTCGATAGGGAAAGCGGACTCTCCCCACTCTCGGCCTTTTGGGGGCTCATCTAAACTAGTTTTCAGATTTTCATGTTTTCTGCCAAAATATAACCTTATTACTTTCACCCATTAATTTGTCTATTGTAATTCATTTTTTAATTTTAGCGTTTCTTATCTGCATTGTTTAATAATGCTGAACATGTAGCTACACGTATTAATGCTGAAGTTGGTATCTTAACACGCAATTCATTATCATATAATGAGAATTCTAATCGTTGTGATTTGCCTGAAACTACTAATGCTTATGAGATTGTTTCTATTCATTCATCTAATAATAATAATAGTAATAATAATAATAATAATAATAATAATAATAATAATCAGTCTCAACCAGTTACAACAAATGCTTCTTCTTCTTCCTCCTCCTCCTCCTCATCATCATCATTATCATCTACCGGTGTAAAATTATCCACATCATTTGTTTGTCAAGATTTTAATTCAGATACATCAGATAATATGCAATTATGGAATGATTGGTTTGGTGTAAGTTTGAAATTATCTTTGTTTCTTAGTTAAAACGCTAATATTTTCTCAATCTCTGATTATATTATAGTAATTTTAATCCTGTTTAGCGAAATTAAGTGAATTCACAAGGTATTACAATTGTTCAATTGACTATAGTTTAGAATGTTAGTCGTTGTTGTCTCTTAATATTTGCTTTGTTTAAACCTGACCGTTGCTACTACCTTGACGTGGTGATCGGGCTTGCCTATCATGATGAATCAATGGAGCTATACTGGCTGAAACAATAGTTCCTTAAGGTCCTATCATCTCTCATTATATTGTAGTAATTCTAATCCTGTGTAGTGAAATTAAGTGAATTCACAAGGTATTCCAATTGTTCACTTGATTATAGTTTGGAATGTTAGTCGTTTCAATAAATACGCTTAATTGATATAACAATTTATTTTGTAATTAGTCTTTTATTCTTTAAAATTACTCCCTTGTTTTATGACCAAACATTTGTCTCATCTTTATTATTCAAAATATTATTGTCTCTTAATCTTTGCATCGTTTAAACCCGAACGTTGCTGCTTCTTGCTTATCGTGATGAACCAATCGAGCTATACTGGCTGAAACTACAGTTTCTTAAGGTCCTATCATGCCAGGCAGGCCGGTTGAATAGCGGTAAGATTAAAATCAGCAAACCAAAGGTCCGAAGGCGAAGTCGTACTACTGACTGTACAGAGGTGTGACAGCAGTAAGTTGTTTCCTTCAGACAACCAACATAACAGCGATGTTGCCTTTTCATAAGGAGGGGTGGGGTTAGAAAAGGTTGACTCTAAAAGTGCACACCTCGTCTTATTCCACGGATATCCATCTCCGGAGGTAAGGTCCGAACAAGTACGGAGCTAACACAAAAGCTCACAAAAAAGGTTGTGTGTGACTGACCTGAAGCAGTTGTCCCTTGGGCATTGCGTTCACGCTCTCAGGTCACTAAGACCACTTCTAGCCCAATTTTCTCTTCAGGTACCTGTAGAAGAACTCTTTCATGTTGTGGGCAACCGGGAAGTGATAACTGTCCTCATACCTCTAACAGCACTCAAGATCACTGTATTCATAATCAATCTCCTTTAATTCCCATTATTCCTCCTACCTTGACTTTCATCACTAAACTTTCTCTTTCGGCTTCCTCCTCAAGTGTCACCACAGCCAACGATTCTAATGCGCTGTCCCAGGTCTACTAAAACCTCGCTCCAAACTACACATTGGAGCCTTCAACGTACGTACCCTATGTCGAATCGGCCAACAGGCCTCCTTTGCTAAAACCCTAGAATCTCGAATCGTGGATGTATGCTGTGTCTCGAAAACACGCATTCTGGAAATAACACTCTCGTTGACTGAATTTTCAGGAATTGATCTCCTACCAGGAGATCCCCTGATCGACTTAGAATACTCAGATGACATAGGCCTGTTTCGTGAAGACGCTGACAAAATGCATAGTATTCTGTTAGAACTGAGTAACGTGGTTGGGCCACGTGTTGCGTATGCCTGAACACCGATTACCACGACGCGCTATGTTGACTAGTATTGACGATGATCGGAAGAGAGTTAGGGGCGGTCAAACCAAAAGGTGACATCAGGGCTTGAAGTCACTAACTTCTAGTCTGGGCCATGTTGGTAGATGTAGACTACTTGGTTGGGGTTCGCCTGACTATCGTAACCAATGGTTGGAGACTCTAGGTGACATGGCTCAGAATCGATCACAATGGTGTAAGTGTATACACACTTTGTCTTCCCTTAAACTACGAGATTAAAATTGCTTCATATCTTTCTTTCTTTCTGGACTATATCCTTATATACAGCCTCTCTTTTATACATTACCACCACTAAATTAACTACTATTAATTCGGTGTTGATCTTGTTGTGCTAATGAGGTATGGCCACTTGGATGGATGCATACGTATGCCTGATCCTACGTTGTAGTTGACTTACTGCGTCGTTTAAACTTAATCGTGTCTAATACTCATATTTGCCCGAAAGTACAATGTACGATTTCGTAAATAAATTATAAGTACATTGTTTAGGAGTTTTTTTAAAACTTTATGTTAATTAACTCCAACACTCCTACTGCTCGAAAATAGCTACTGGTTTCTAATTTCAATCATTACATTATTCATAACTAATCAATCTGCAATCATTTGTTTATTCATTTTAAAATATCTAGATCAAGGATGATTTAGAGACATGTATTGATCATTTGTTATCAGATCTTGAATCTATCGAAGTTTTCACATCCACAGTCAATACCACAACTGTCACTTATACTACTTCAACTGTGAGTTCTACGATTCCCAACCAAGATATTAATAATACAACAATAATTGAAACACTAATTGATACTGATCAATGTTCTCATCAGTCGTCTGCTGTAACAACATTATCCAATGACATTGTTACCTCATGTCCTAGCAATGTATCTCACGAATTGATATCTTCTCCACCACCATCATCATCATTATCAGACTGTGAAACTAATGTCACCATCAATGATAAAACATTAACAAGGTCTATTACTTCAGCGACAATAACAGACACTTCTGACTTATTTCATCCTAATTCACCAATATTATCTTTATCTACACTATTATGTAACAACACTGAGACCAATAGTAACAATGATAATGTTAATAGTAGTGATTGTGAATCTCTTATTATTCCTAATATACCTGATACTAAATTGATGATGAAGACTCCTATCATTTCTACTTCTACTATAATTACTACTACTTCGACTGTTACTAATCAACATCTTGTTCATAATGACTGTAAACGATTGATTACATCATCTTCATCACCATTTTGTTTCAATCAGTTGGTTAATAATAATAATAATTCACAAAATTTCCCAAGTAAACGTCAATGTATACGTCATTCCGACGATATAAATAATATCAATAATAGCACTGTGAATAATAATAATAATACTACTAATAATTTACCACCCATTTTAATTACACCGGATTCAAAGAAAAATCATGCCAATGAACATAATAATGAATTATTCTATGAAAATTTGCCAAGCTGTAAATTGTTTAAGGGTAAACTATATTTCTTAGGATTTGTATTTTGCTTTTCAATGATTGTAAGCAAAAATGGATAGTGGCTAGCAGTGGAATCCAGTTTGATGCGCGTTTCGTCCTATTTTTGGGACTCGTCAGCTGGATGTACCTGCCACATCTCAAAGTTGATGTTCACTGTGAGACTCGAACCCAGTACCTTTCGCTTGAAACGCCATCTCGTTATCCACTCAACTAATGAGTACTGATAGCCATGAAACGCGCGTCCTGGATTCCACTGCTAGCCACTATCTATGTTTGCTTACAGTGCTTGTGAATTAAGGCTATATCGAGGCAATATGCACATATGTCAATTAGAGACTGACCAGTTGCAGTTAGAAACATCAGTGCTAAGATTCAAACAAACAATACTAATTGAATTTTCAATGATTGTATTTCCTTATGAATCAAATTATTATATTTCAGTCAGTCAGTCAGTCCAGGGCTAGGTAACATAGAATTTGGTATATATGTCTGTCGATCGAATTTGTTACTATACCACAACATCTGTACAGCTAAATTATTTATTTATTTAAACACTTAAACATTGGTAGAAGGAGGCACCAAATATATATGCGACAAACTTCGTCATTTGATATGAGTGCTGGAATATTGCTCGGGCGCCCAAACCTAAGCAGGTAGTTTTATTAGGGGCCCATTACTCCTCGAACCTTTGACACAGAGGTCTAATACACAAGGCTGTGGAGCAACGTTAGGAGATACAGTCCTGTGGTAGCCGGTGACCAACAATAGGTTCATACGCCCATTTCTTTCTTCATGATCTTGGAACCTATGTGAACCACTTGTTGAAAATCAGAGTTTTTCAACTCCCTTAGATGGATCCTCCATATCGACTAACTTAGTTAAAGCGTTGGATATTCGCTTTTTGTCCTCTTAATTTCATAAATAACATTTCTACCTAGAGGAGGTATTGACTAGAACTTCCTTGGTAGTGGCTGTATATGAGTCGCCTTGTGAGAGCATTTTGATAGGGACAGTGTTATATCTAGAAGCTTAGATTCTTGATATACCGCATATGACGAGCACTCAAACGATAGAATCTTCCAAGTCGCAAGTAAGAAGACTAGAAAAAGGTGCTCGCTGGGCAAGAATCAAAATGTACAGAAAATCATGGGTATTTATAGATATTGGCGCCTGTTAAATCAGCGTTGGATAGAATCTTTGCTGAAACATCTAGAAAATACGGAATCACCTGTTACACTTTTGATTTGATGTTTGCTTACACTGCTACTATATTTGGCATGAATCTAGAAACTTCCGGAGCCCCAAGGCCATGCCTAACTGTCGTTTTTCTGTACCCCAACCAACCTTGAAGTAAAGGTCTTACTTACAATTCGCGCTTTCTCTCTATTGTTCCAGTCGACATGTAGAAGTAGTTGGTCTTATCGAAACCGAGTAGTAGGGAGACGACTAATAGGTATCGATGGTAGCAAGATTTATCAGTTATATTATTCAGCTTTGAAGTATCATGTTCCAAACTTTCGTTTGTTTAATCGCGTAGGGCGGCCTGCTTGAACATCTGGTGTACCTGTTTCCGTCACCTAGATATTTCAACAAGTTTTCTAATTTTGTTTGTTTCAATGCATCATTATGGCCCCTAATCGCATAACCTATTCAGGTGCGTTTTATTTATTTATTTATTTATTTACACACATAAATATTGGTACAAGGAGGCACGAGATACATATGCGCCACACAAATCTCATTCGATTTGCGTGAGGGCTGTGATACTACCCAGGTGCCCAAACTGAAGCAGGTGGTTTTCTTAGGGGACCACACCCGGAGCCTTTGACCTAAAGGTCTGATCCATAAGGCAGTGGAACGTCGTGAGGAGATGCAGTCCCATGGTAGCCGGTGACCAACAGTTGGTTCATACGCCATTTGTTCCCTCAGGATACTGGACACCATGTGCACCATTGGTTTGGAGTTGTGGTTTTCCAACTCCCCTAGGTGAACTGGCGATCACTCATTGTTTATCATCAGGATCGATCAATAAGTAAGAAACGGGAACTTGTTGAAATACATTGTGCTGAGAATTGTATATTGTACCAAAAATATAATATTGAATAAAACACAATTATATGAACGAAGAATATTCTTTTCAATAATTTCTCATCAGGTTCGACAATTATAAATTAATAATCCATATAAAATTTGTCAAGTTTAAGGCAGAGTACATCATTTAACAAAACTGTAATATGTGAATCAAGGAGTGTTGTTTGTCATATAAAATCAAATCGTATCGTTAATGTTGGGATGACCAATATGTAGTGTTAACTTGAATCAGTTTATAAGTGAAATAAAATCATAAGATAAATGATCAGAATATATGTAGTTGACATAGGGTGAGATAGAACAATGGGTATCCATTTTCTCTCAGGGTCGTGTATATTGAATAAAGCTAATAATAATAAGCAAAGATGGATAGTGGCTAGCAGTGGAATCCAGTTTGATGCGCGTTTCGTCCTATTTTTGGGACTCGTCAGCTGGATGTACCTGCCACATCTCAAAGTTGATGTTCACTGTGAGACTCGAACCCAGTACCTTTCGCTTGAAACGCCATCTCGTTATCCACTCAACTAATGAGTACTGATAGCCATGAAACGCGCGTCCTGGATTCCACTGCTAGCCACTATCTATGTTTGCTTACAGTGCTTGTGAATTAAGGCTATATCGAGGCAATATGCACATATGTCAATTAGAGACTGACCAGTTGCAGTTAGAAACATCAGTGCTAAGATTCAAACAAACAATACTAAGTAAATTCAATGATAATAATAATAATTATTATGTACTTAAAATTGCCTAACTGTTTTCTATATTATAACTTTATTTCTTCGTTGATACTTCAAAAGGTAATACTAATAAAGATTCATTTCAACATCATTCAAATGATCATCCTCATCCTCTTCAACCTACTTATCTATTATCATCATCACCTTCTTGTTATTATTCTATTCCACAGAATTCAAATACTCAAACTATCATTAATAATGCTACAAATACATGTATGACAGCTTATTTATTAAATAATCCTTTATCAATTATTGATTTACGTCAAATTACCCAAAGTAATAATAGTACTGGTCTAACTATCAGTAATGAGAATCATTACACTAATCCAATCACCTTGTATACAACAAACAATCATCACAAATTATTATTATCATCATCATCATCATCAGCAGCAGTAGCTATGGGGAATCATGTTAATTATGTTGATTTAAATAATAATTCCCTCATCAATTTGATCCCAATTAGTTATCATTCAAATATATCACCATTTATTATGAGTAATACTATAATGAATACAACATTATCTACAATAACAATGACTACTGATAGTAGTAATATAACTTCAACAGCTTATGTTAATTTTACTTGTAACACTGTTAGTACATGTACTACTACTACGACTACTACTACTGCTACTAGTAGTAGTAATAGTAGTAATAACACAGGATCGACTACGGATGTTGTTGTCACTACTGCAGTTAGTGACAATAATAGTAATAGATGTTATTCAAAGAAATCATTATTAATGGATGCAAAAGAAAATCATCCACCAACACCGGCACTCATTGTTCAAGTAAGTTAATAATGTTCTCTTCTTATATCTATGTATGCTTCTATTATTTATGATTTCTAAATGAATGTTGGATGACTGGTTTTGGAGCTGTATGTTTAGATGTTAGTAACACATTAGTTTCTATAATGGTTAAATATCCCGACCGTTGCTGCTACTTTGACGTAGTGGTCGGGCTTGCCTATCGTGATGAACCAATGAATCTATACTGGCTGAAACAATAGTTCCTTAAGGTCCTACCATGCCAGGCAGGCCGGTTGAAGAGCGGTAAGATTAAAATCAGCAAACCAAAGGTCCGAAGGCGAAGTCGTACTACTGACTGTACAGAGGTGTGACAGCAGTAAGTTGTTTCCTTCAGACAACCAACATAACAGCGATGTTGCCTTTTCATAAGGAGGGGTGGGGTTAGAAAAGGTTGACTCTAAAAATGCTCACCTCGCCTTATTCCACGGATATCCGTCTCCGGAGGTAAGGTCCGAACAAGTACGGAGCTGACACAAAAGCTCACAAAAAGGTTGTGTGTGACTGACCTGAAGCAGTTGTCCCTTGGGCATTGCGTTCACGCTCTCAGGTCACTAAGACCACTTCTAGCCCAATTTTCTCTTCAGGTACCTGTAGAAGAACCTTTCCACGGTGTGAGCACCCGGGAAGTGATAACTGTACTCATACCTCTAGCAGAACTGAAGACCACTGAATGGTTAAATATTTACCCTAAGATCTGAACGTTCTGTGTTCGATTTCTAACTGACCCTTGCGTTTGGACATTGTTAAGACATTGTTAAGAAATTTCAAACTAGGATTAAAGTAGTGACGAAAATATAGTCTAGAAAAGGAAATACCATTTCTTTGAAAATGGTAGTAGATGTATACTTTATTAAAGACGATCAGCTAGCATGAAGCGTAGGTCTTGAACTTCTAGTCGATAACCTTCCACCGTCCAATATATTACGTGCATATGTATATAATTATTCTTTTTTTTTGAAATCAATAAATTTTCGGAAGTATTCCTTCTGATAAAGATGTATGTAATGGTAGTGATTAATTGTTTTCCACTCCATTAATTTTGCTTAACTTCACTATTTTTTTAAAAAAAATACATGTTATAAATTATAAGATTACCGTAATTAAATTGTGCCTTTTTTGAGGAACAATCCTATCATCAGTCATTTCTATAACATGTTTAGCTATCTAATGGCTAGAACTTGTGGCCGAGTGGATGCCTTGTTAATGTATGTTGTAAGACCGCCAATCAGAGACAGCGAGTTATCAATTAAAACAGTGACGCACAAAACCCGTACGAGCAGTCTAGAGTACGTATCGGTCCTGCTTTCTGCCTAGCCCAGACATTTAAGTTCAAAACACGAACAACAGCCTCTGCGGTATGAATCTTTGTATTTCAAACATATTGAGTTTATACACCAAACAGACTGACCACATCGTACCAATAAAATAGAAAATAACATTTGTACAGTATTTGGCCAAATGTAACTGTGAATAAGAAAGATAGTAAATCATAGACTGGGCGTAATTCAAGAATGGTAAATCGTATAATAATAGTCTATAGGTTAAAATAAAGCTTATAATAAATGGGACATGAATATGAATAGTTTAGTTACTTAGTAACTATACGATAAGAAATATATCCATAATACTGGTCCACAAATGGATCCCAAGGTTACCATTCACTATTGTTATCGGGACATAACACTAATTAATTACGATTTCACCAATGATACACTGTACTACAAATTGATGTCTATACCACATTTGCCATTTACAAAATGTCGTTCTCAAATAATTTGGAAATTAAAACATTCCATAAAACAATCACCATACTTTAAAATGTTTTGGTTCTAGTAAAATGAATCATGAGTCAATTGATGATAGACCGCCATTGAAAACCTGGAAGCACTGGGAGGCCGTTTCGTCCTATTGTGGGACTCCTTATTAGCAGTGCGCATCCACGATCCCGCCTCACGAGATTCGAACCCAGGACCTACCAGTCTCGCGCGCTAGCACTTAACTGATAGACCACTGAGCCGGCATCCGGCGGGATCGTGGATGCACACTGCCGCTGAGGAGTCCCACAATAGAACGAAGCTGCCGCTCAGTGCTTCCAGATTTTTGATGGTGGTCTAGCTTCAATTGACTCATGATTTCAACTATGTATAAAAAATTACTAAAAAATCACAAAAAAATATAAAATGAATTTTCCCTAAAAAGAGTTCCATATACATTTGTACAGAAGTACGTCTATGAATTAAGTTGTACCGACTGTTATGCTTTCCGTTTAGGTGACTTATTTCGTGAAATTTTATGTCATTTCAATGAAAATCTAAGCTACATAAAGAGACCTTGTCAAAACCTTGTGGAACTTGATAATTAACTAATCAAATGAACAAAATCGATGCATATTATCTTCAACATGTCTAGAAAGATTTTACTAATTATTAAGAAAAGAAAATAGGACCGATTGTTGAAGTGTTTCATGTTTTGGTAAACTCTACTGTTTCAAATAGATCGGGAAAGTATCAGTATAGGATTGTAGAGATTGTCGGCTTTTAATTGAGATCATTAACCGATCAATGTTAGATCACTATTGAAAACTTGGAAGCATTGAACAACCTTTTTGTCCAAGTAAGGGACTTTGCAACAAAGCACATTCAAGATTCTGCATGCGGGATTCGAACCCGGGACGTTCAGTCTCTTGCTCACGAACGCTTAACCTTTAGACCAGAGCCATTTAAGATAAATAAATTAATGGATGTCTAACCTAACCACAACACATTAACAATTAGAAAACTACACTGATATTCAAACTGGCCATCAAGGTAGAGAGATAGAGTACCAAAGGTTATGTTTAAATTACAATAGCTCTGGAACAGAAAGGGGTATGGCAGTGAATCATACATCAAACGAAAGCTTATGGTAGAAACAAAACTGAATGTTAGTATTCTAGAAACTTCGAATTAAGTGAAATAACGTCCCCCTGTGAGGATGGTCCACAGATGAAGTTGAGGAAGCTCTAAGAAACCCAGAAGGAGCCGGACATATTCCATACAATCAGCTTTTGTAAGAATATTCTAGAATCACTACGTGTAGCTTTCCTATTTGACAATGCTGATAACTCCCTGTGTGCGGATTGGATAACTATAATGATGATTTCGTTTCTACTAAGAACTATAAATGCCTGACAGGTTTGTACCATAATCGACACTGCTTGGAATAACATTCCTTCTACTTGTCTTCTGTCTTTTGATTTGTGACTTGGGAGGGTTCTAGCGTTCGAGTGCTCAAGTATTATGCGACAGACTAAGAATCTAAGTTCAAGATATAACACCCCCAAAATAGTTTCTGTTGTTTGTCATAGCATTTTTGTTCCTCTGTTTACATCCAAATTGTAAAGTCATGTGCGTAACATTAGGACCTTAATTTTTTTCCACTTATAGAAATATTTCCAAATTATGATTTGAGGAAGTTTAAGATTTTTCTATACACTTATCATTAAAGCTGTTACTACTTATAGTAGTAAGTTTGAGGTCCGCGTGATCATCGTAACCAATGCTTGGAGACTCTAGGTGATATGGCTCAGAATCGATCACAATGGCGCAAGTGTATACAATGTTTATCTTCCCTTAAACCTTAAGATTAAAATTGCTTTATGTATGTCTTCCTTCTTATACTATATCCTTATACACAACCTTTCTCTTATATATTACCACCATTAAATTAACTACTTCTATGAATTTGGTGTTCATCTTGTTGTGCTAACGAGGTATGGCAACTTGGACCGATGTATAAATGTGCCTGGTCCTACGTTGTAGCTGACTGACTGACTAAGTTTGAGAAGTTGGTCATTTTTATTACGTTTCTACTATAACTTGTAATATTGATCGTGAACAGTCTTAAATACCATGTTTTCCTGTTTTTAATTATAGCGTGGTGTACGAAAGAAGGTAAGTATTACAATTTTTCGAATTGAGTTGTTATGTGAATCCATTGTCACTTTATTTTTTACTAAGCAATCTACTATTAGTAGTAGTTAGTAGTATGATTAGTTATGTTAAGAAAACTGTTCATGCGAATTATATTGTATGCCCAATGATACTCTACTTTGAAGTATGATATTGTATATCATAACAATAGGTTAGATAAATCATTACATAGTATCAATCTAAGAGCCCCTAAATGCCATGGTACGGCCGAGAGCGTATATAGCCTCTGCCAGCGAAGTTGTACTCACTGCCTTCTCGTGGCACCGGTGTTGTTTACGAAATCGAGAGAACGAAAAGCTAGAGTCCGACGCTTTAACTGGGTTGGTGGACACGGCGAGTTCACCTAGGGGAATTGGACAGCCGTGACTCCAAACCAATGGTGCACATGGGCTCCAGTATCCTGAAGGAACAAATGGCGTATGCATCAGTCGTTGGTCACCGGCTACCATGAGACCGCATCTCTTCACGGTGCTCCACTGCCTTTTGAATCAGATCTTTCTGTCAAAGGCTCCGGGTGTTACACCCTAATAAAACCACCTGCTTCGGTTTGGTCATCCGTGCAGTATCACAGCCCTCTCACAAACCGAATGAGATTTGTGCGGCGCATAGGTATCTGGCGCTCCTTTCTACCAATATTTATGTGTTCAAATAAAATATAATAATCAATCTAAGAAATCACGAACCGCTGAGCAAAGCCAACTTGTTTGGAGTATCCATTGAAATCATTGTAACCAATAGTTGTAAAAGATTATTAGAATTTATTTGAACATTGTTAATATCCTGTTGTGTAGTTCATTCATGATGAGGCAACTAGCGTAAGTAATGTTGTCCAGAAAAAAAAAGTTTTGTATTCTTAGGTTGAACCACCAAAAGTAACTGTTTGTAATTAGACGAGTTAAATCAGCCTTTAAAATATGTATCTAGAATAATTTTGAAGTATCTGAATCATTCATTTGTCATGAACGTGGGATTGGATACACAAATATGCATCAACGTAAATTTATTCATTAATTTATTTGAACACATAAATATTGGTACAAGGAAGCACCAGATACTTATGCACCGCACAAATCACATTCGATTTGTGTGAGGGCTGTGATACTGCCCAGGTGCCCAGACTGAAGCAGGTGGTTTTCTTAGGGGGCCACACCCCGAGCCTTTAACCTAAAGGTCTAACCCACAAGGCAGTGGAGCATCGTAAGGAGATGCAGTCCCATGGTAGCCGGTGACCAACAGTTGGTTCATACGCCATTCGTTCCTTCAGGATACGCGAGCCCATGTGCACCATTGGTTTGGAATCAGGGTTTTCCAACTCCCCTAGGTGGATCCTCCACATCCACCAACCCGGTTAAAGCGCCAGACATTCGCTTTTCGTCCTCTAACTTTTGTGAACAACACCCCCGCCACGAGAAGGCAGTGAGTAGGACTTCCCTGGCAAAGGCTATATATTCGCGTGGCCATGTGAGAGCATTTCGAGAGAGAGAGAGCCGGCTCTACCCACTCTCAACCGTACTAGGGCATTTAGTGGCTAACCACGCCATATCCACATCAGTGAGAGTAACGACGAATATTGAGGGAGTCAGATGAAATAGTATTGTTAATCATTTATTTATTTAAGCACATAAATATTGATACAAAGGGGCACCATATATATATGCGCTGTACCGATCAGCATCTTTAACCACTGATTGTAACTGTCACACTGATAACAACCAAGCTAGTCTGCAACTAACAACAATGATCAGATAGGGAGTCAATGAATTCGTGAATTGACTTCACGTCCTGATATCGTCTCTCATAATTTGTAGCCTACTACGCTAGTCACTACTGCACGTCATAAATGGTCAGTGGTTAATGCATAAGTTAATGCATATTTCAGTCACATTAGTCGATGAAGATTCACAGTCGTCGCACTTGTCAATTTGCCATTTTTATTTAATCTCTCATGTTCGCTTATTCAGTTGCTCTTTTATATGTGGGAAATGCTTGAAAGACATCTATGATCACATATTAGTAAATTGAATTGAATAATTTGATTGAAAGCTACTTTGTTTGAGTATGTGAGTCTTCCAATCAATACTCACAAACGATCACCCTGAAGGGAATTTAGCACATATAATTTAGATCTCGTAGTAAATGTTTAGTATTTAGATCATTGAGTTCCAGTTCAGTTACACGCGATTCAATCCCATACCATTACAACTGACATTTAATAAAAACAAAGTGGGGAGTAGAGAAAGTATAATTAAGGATAAACATAATTATAGGCAGTCTGTATATTGCTAAAGTAAACTTTTCGTCAACTTATTGCTACTGTATATAATAGGGAATAACGATTCTTGAATAAGTCTCTTAAAAGTGTTAGTTTAAATTACTTATGTTCACAGCTGAACATTATTGACCCTATACATACAAAAACAAAGATCTACCATTGAAATCTTTCATAGTTCACATTACGGGATGACGTTAGTTAAACAAGTGTTAAAACGGAAGAAACACTGGTTAATTTTTTGTTTATCTTAGTATGGACTAGTGGAATTAAGCTATGTCAGGTGTAAGGCAGTCACCCTCCAATAATGGTATTAGAAGATAGTTGAGAAATTCTGGAAATCGATTTGAATTAACACATAGATACCGGTGGATACCATCTAAATGGTCGAAATTTTAAGCTCTCGTCACGATACCAGAGAGCTGTAGGGTCCATTACGATAGGATCTTAGTGATGGTTATCATGCCTGCTTTACACGCGGAAGGTCTCCGGTTCGAACCCAGGCAGAACTAGGCTTTGCTCCCAAAGGCCCTGGTACGGCCGAGATTAGGGAGAGTCAGCTCTCCCTCTCCAAGTGCTCTCACATGGCCGCGTGTATATAACCTCTGCCAGGGAAGTCCTACTCACTGCCTTCTCGTGGCAGGATTGTTGTTTATGAAGTTGAGAGAACGAAAAGCGAATGTTCGGCGCTTTAACCGGGTTGGTGGACACCGTGAATCCACCTAGGGGCGTTGAGAAAACCTGATTGCAAACCAATGGTGCACATGGTTTCCAGTATCTTGAGGAAACAAATGATGTATGGATCAATCGTTGGTCACTGACCACCATGTGACTGTATCTCTTTACGATGTTCCACTGCCTTGTGGATTGGACCTCTAGGTCGAAGGCTCCGAGTGTGGCTCCTTAATAAAAACACCTTTTTCAATTTGGGCACCTGGACAGTATCACAGCCCTCACACAAATCACATGAGATTTGTGTGGCGCATATGTATGAATATTTATGTGTTTAAATAAATAAATAAATGAACTAATGAAGTATCCTTTATTACGACAGAACATATTTCCATTATTTCCTGGCTGTCAGTGGTCGTTCAAATAAGATCATTCCTTGTAGTAAACTAAGATCATCTTTCACTATTAATACTAATTTCTACCTGTTTTTTTTTAAAATTTTCGAACTCCCCAATAGATTTTAAATTTACAATCATTGGACATTGACAGAATAATATCTCAATCTCACTAATTAAAATGTATCAAAACACTTCACTTCTCTTTGAGAACTTCTGGAGGGAATCGATCTCCTCTAGGCGCAGATGTTTTTCATAACAACCTAGATTCTTCAAAAGAACAACCTACTCATATACAGATATTACTATCATCATGTTATGTAACAATATCAGTAGTATTTGAATAAACATACAATTTGATTTGCATTCCAAAAACATGCATTTATTTTTTTAAATTTTTTTCTTTTCATATATAATTTATTATTCTTATTCGTTTTCTTACTGTTATTATTATTATTATTATTGCATTAAAGTATTTATTAGAGATTTCTATGTGCTATTGTTTTATCATCATAAATGACATCGTAATCGCCATGGCTGCGGAGGGGGAAGAGTTTGCTCTCCGTCTCAAAATGCTCTCACAAGGCCATGCATATACAGCTACTACCAAAGAAGTCCTAGTCAATGACTACTACTACTCGGTTTCGATAAGACCAACTACTTCTGCATGTCGACTGGAACAATAGAGAGAAAGCGCGAATTGTAAGTAAGACCTTTACTTCAAGGTTGGTTGGGGTACAGAAAAACGACAGTTAGGCATGGCCTTGGGGCTCCGGAAGTTTCTAGATTCATGCCAAATATAGTAGCAGTGTAAGCAAACATCAAATCAAAAGTGTAACAGGTGATTCCGTATTTTCTAGATGTTTCAGCAAAGATTCTATCCAACGCTGATTTAACAGGCGCCAATATCTATAAATACCCATGATTTTCTGTACATTTTGATTCTTGCCCAGCGAGCACCTTTTTCCAGTCTTCTTACTTGCGACTTGGAAGATTCTATCGTTTGAATGCTCGTCATATGCGGTATATCAAGAATCTAAGCTTCTAGATATAACACTGTCCCTATCAAAATGCTCTCACAAGGCGACTCATATACAGCCACTACCAAGGAAGTTCTAGTCAATACCTCCTCTAGGTAGAAATGTTATTTATGAAATTAAGAGGACAAAAAGCGAATATCCAACGCTTTAACTAAGTTAGTCGATATGGAGGATCCATCTAAGGGAGTTGAAAAACTCTGATTTTCAACAAGTGGTTCACATAGGTTCCAAGATCCTGAAGAAAGAAATGGGCGTATGAACCTATTGTTGGTCACCGGCTACCACAGGACTGTATCTCCTAACGTTGCTCCACAGCCTTGTGTATTAGACCTCTGTGTCAAAGGTTCGAGGAGTAATGGGCCCCTAATAAAACTACCTGCTTAGGTTTGGGCGCCCGAGCAATATTTCAACGTTCATATCAAATGACGAAGTTTGTCGCATATATACTTGGTGCCCACTTGTACCAATCTTTAAATAAATAAACAACTTGAAGAATGACATGATAATGAAGTATCAATAAGAAACTATAACGGTATATAAATCTGTAGCGAATCGGTTCATTTGTAAGGCAGAACTGATGAGTAACTGGTATCGTAATTAATCAGTTGATATTTGTCAATGAAAATGTTTCATCTATACTTAATGAGTTGTGAATAAAAGACTACATTTATGAACCATTGAAAAAGTAGGATTATTCTAAACATCTCATCAGTAGATAATTGTCACATTTCTAATTTCATTGTTTAAAACATTTCTGAAAGTCCTTGGAAGTTGGATTCATCATCTGTGTCACCTACGTATAGTCTAAGCGTCATCTCCACTAGATTATTTTGCATTTTAGGAACAGAATCGAATCATGGAGATTGTATCTGGTTAGTAGTGGAGAGAATGTTCTGGTGTGATAATCAAATTATAAAACTGAAAATCTCAAACTATTACCGAATTGTCTAATTGAATGCAAGGTGTTCATTGTATTTCATGCTTCACCTGTGATGTAGAGGTTTTCATAATCCAGTCAACCACCAGGAGAAAGACAGTAGGTAAGTTGCCAGCCTGGTCTGATAGCAGTTCTTACTCAGAATGTATCTGCGAGGCTTTGTGGTGTAGTCCGTCATATGAATTCCGTTTTATATTGACGATTTTGTCAGGTACACTCTAGTGTAGGAGGTTCCATAAGATCCCCCTTTACACACTATCAAATGCTTTCTCATAGTCGAAGGCGTTGATGTATAGTAACTAGTTCCATTCTATTAATTGCACAACGACAATTCGTAGTGTCACTATCTGGTCTGTGAATGACCAGTGCTTACAGAATCCGGCCTGTTGATCTTGAAGTTGGACGTCAACTGAATCTTTCATCTGGTTAAGTAACACTCTGTTAATTACTTTTCGTGGTACTGATAGTTGTGTGATGCCTTTGTAGCTGAATTTTCACACTTGCCCAGATCTCTTTTTTGGTATCCTGATGAGGTATCCTCCCTTTCTGTAGCTTCAGTGGGCTGACCTACTCAAAGTGCTCTACCCACCTGTCCCCCTGATCTTGAGTCTCAATGATTGGTTTGCCTTCAATCTATCATATAGTCTAATATTTCCTTCTCTTTCAGTTTCTCCGCTGTTGCTGCCTTGTCTTCGACGCATCTCTGCTTTTCAACTCTAGTGCTCCTCTTCACTTGCTTGTTTGCTTCTGCATATCCAGTTTTTGCCTTGACTTTCTATGCTCTTGTTCAACTGTTGTTAATTGCTGTCCTCTTGTTCTTGATTTCTGGAATGCTGTCCGGGGTTTAATAGAGTTCCATTCTTTATGATGATGCTTGTTGCTGCCCAGAACCTCCCGACGTGTTAAAGTCGATGGTTCTTTGATCTCTTTCCAGTTGTTCTCCATAGTAGTTTCCTCTTCTTTGATCAGATCTTGTAAGGCTTGGAACATGTTGTTGAGAGCTATCGTTAATCGATCGAGTTTGTCAGTATCTCGAAGGGATTCTGTATTGAACCTTAGCAATGGTGTTTGTCTAGTTGTCTAGTGCTTTTTTTTCTTCGTTTCCATCTTTGTAACCATCAGGTGGTGATCTGAAGCTATACCATCTTTCTTTGTTCTCATGTTTTCCACTGACTTGAATATTTTAGTGATGCGAATGCGATCGATCTGGTTCTGTATAGTGTAATCCTGTGAGACCCGTTGAGCTGTATGTATGGATTTGTGGGGGAATATGTTGCCACATATAACCATTTTGTTGAATGCACATAAATTTGCAAATCTGTCATTCTCGTTCGTTTCTTCCAGTCAGTCCATGTTGTCTCATGATATCTTCGTACCCGGTGTTGTTGATTCCGACTTTGGCGTTTGGTTCTCCCATCAGGATTGTCAGTCCGTTTCCTGAGCATTTCCCTATGACCGACTTCAGCCTCTGGTAAAACTGATGTTTATCGTCTCCATTGTTATGAATGGTAAGTGCATGGCGCTGGATAATATTCATTGTGATCACCTTTGCTTTGAGTGATTGTGGATCCATGAGATTCTCACTCTAAAAGTGCTTTTCGTGCTCCTTTGGACAGGATCAGTGAAACTCGTTGTGTGTGCGAAACATTTTTCTCTTCGTAACTGGAGTGCAGTAGCATCTGTCCTGAATCTAATTTTATCTGTCAATTTTGGGTCGAATGGGTTTCTTTCATTCTGAGCACCTTGGAGTTGTATCTGCTCATTTCGGTAGCCATGTTATCGGTCTTTCCTGTCTCTCACATTCCATGTACTTATGATAACTGTTGCTGTGGTTTTTAGCAGGATAATCGGCCTCATGACTTTGGAAGAATCTCGGCTTACATTATGAGTTGTCATAATTCTCCTGAATGAATATCCTTGAGCTTCCTGAGAGGATCGATCAATACATAAGTTGTACGGAATTGCCGTGGATGGGAATTTTGACAAGAATGTATCCTTGATCGATCGGATATCAGCAACGATTGTCCTCCATATTTCGAGTGTTCATTCATTATAACAACACATGGTTGTGGTTAGTTTTTGGCAAGCAATGACTCATTCATTGTGCATTGATCGTATGTTGATTAACTGATTGATCTAGTGAAAATGGAGGTCGTGGGTTATTGACAGTAAAGGATGCTTGTGCAAATGTGGTTCTAGTGTTAGTGTTCTCGTGGTGTTAGTATATTTTTGTTGGTACCGTTGAGGATATTGTGATTGTAGTTGAGTTTTGTCGGTTGCGGACATGTGTGGTACCTATTACCTCGAAATAGCTTTAATTCACAAGCTTTATAAGCAAAGATGGATAGTGGCTGACAGTAGAATCCAGGATGCGCGTTTCGTCCTATTTGGGATTCGTTAGCCGGATGTGGCTGCATCTCAGAGCTCATGTTCACTTTGGGACTCGAACACGATACCGTTCGCTTGAAACGCCACCGCGTTATCCAATTAGCTACTATGTCCTGATAGCCACCTGCTTGTGCATTCCGGTGAAGTTTAATTCACTTAGTATTGTTTGCTTGTGTGCCAACAAGAGACTGATCAATTGTAGTCTTAAACAACAATCGGAAGATGTAAGCAAACAATACCAAGTGAATTAATTTCCTTAAGTTTCCATTCTGAATAAACTATCATTATCTGGTGTTGGTCTGGACGTCTTTTTAAGAAATATAAACACTGATTATTTGAAATGCTTTCATCTTCTTCCTAAATACAAAAGACTGTTTTATTTCTGAATTATCGAGTTCTTGGAATATTTAATTAGTTACTTACTTAGTTACGCCTGTTACTCACAATGGAGCATAGGCCGCCGACGAGCATTCTCCAACCCATTCTTCCTGGGCTTTCTTTTCTAGTTCTATAGTTTTTGTTCATTCTCCTAGTGTCTGTCTCTATTTCTCAGCGTAATGTGTTCTTTGGTCTTCCTCTTCTCCTTTGACCTTCAGGATTCTATGTGAGGGCTTGTGTTCTGACGCAATTTGGTGATTTCCTCAAAGTATGTCAAATCCACTTCCAGCGCTTCTTCCTGATTTCTTCCTCCGCTGGAATCTGGTTTGTTGTCTCCCACAGTAACTTGTTGCTGATAGTGTCTGGCTATCGGATCCGAAGGATGTTGCATAGACAACTGTTAATAAACACATATCTTCTGGATAATGGCTTT